CAAACGGTTTTTAGTAACTATCAGTTGACGGAAGCACTAGTTGAAGTCTTGAAGACAACAACACCCAATAACAATACATTGTTTTAACATTTTTTTTTTATGGCATAAGCCGGTAAACGAGCAGACGGATGGTAAGCAATCGGCGTCGCTCATGGACACTTGGAACACCAGAGGCGTTAAGGGGAGGGTAATTGGGCCTCCGGTAACCTCACTCACACGACGAAACAAAACGCAAGCATTGCTTCACGTCGGTTTTCTGTGAGGCCGTGGTATCACTCCGGTGGAGCCGGCCCATTCGTGCCGAAGCATGGCTCTCTCACACTTAAATTTTTCTTAACAAGGAACTAATGCTCAGCATAGGCAATAGCCAGATCCTTGCCAACATAACCGTTTTTGTTTAAATTAAGTAGCAGTATTTCTGGCAACCTGTCTAACTTAAATGGGTAATCACTTCCTTGCAAAATTCCTTATCGAATAATTCAATTTTGTATTGCACATTTATGGCATTAAGTATTAAATTAAGACGTATCGGACCGTGGGAATGTTGTACTGAGATGCGAAATGCTAAACTATGTAAATTGCGCGGGAAAGGATGAATGTCACATTCGGCGGCCATATTTTATCCGCAACGGGCGCGTTCTTCGCGCGCGCGATTTATGTCGCGTTCATGTATTGAATTAGATAAATGGTTTGTTTAGCTATTGATAGAGGTAGATGTATGTAGATAGGTTTTGCAACTGGACGTCTGGACAGTTTGCATCACAAGGTTTCAGTTCATGTTAATATGAATTCTAAAAACGACTAGGGAGTAACTTGAGTTCTTACCACAATAAAACCATTCAGATAGGTAGTCACCATCAACTAAGTTAAAGGGGGTACTGAATCGCCTAAATCAGCTCTCGAAACGCCAATTCTGCAACCCCTATTAGGGGACACATCATCAATACCTATCTTTAGGCAACATAACATAACATAACATCACGCCTGATATCCCCGAAGGGGTAAGCAGAGGTGCACATTATGCCACTGTACAATGTAACACCCACTTTTCACTATTTATGTCATGAGTCCTAAGTAATAGGGAGTGAGTCTATTGCCATATACCGGGCACAGTTCCAGGTTCCAGCTACTACTGAGAATTTTTTAAAAACCCAGTAATACTTTGCCCGACCCGGGAATCGAACCCAAGACCCCTTGCTTGGCAGTCACACTTCCGACCACTCGACCTTTAGGCAACCTACCTCTTTATTAACATAATAAAATCTTTAACCCCTAAAAATCTTTTAAAAACAATTAAGTAGAGGCTTTTCGCAATAGTAAATAAAGTAATAAAAAGTGTTTATTGTAATAATTTTGTTACAATAAACACTTTTTATTATTTTTTTTATTATTTTTATAGACATAGGGATAGGGACTCACCAACTATCTAGGTGTTATCTAGGTACTCGTAATATAAGGCATCCCGAGAAAGAAAAAAACAATTATCTCAAGCTTGCAATCTCGATCCCTTTCAACAAGTTAAATATTTGAATAAAATGCAGCAGCAATCAAAGGAAATTCACACTGTCACATTCATCAGTATTTAATACCAACCTTCGCAATTTTCCGACAATCTCCCGAATTCTACAGAATTCCTTAAAATAATTGTGCAGGTGACATGACAAAGACTTAATTAGATACCTCAATGACCAAATTAAGTCAAAATTACGGAGAAAACGAAGCTAAACACAAGTTATCTTATCAACATATCCGAGGCATCCATTCAGACATTCCGCAGGCGAGTACAATTGTTTGATTCACAGGGGCACAATGTCGGCTTTTAAAATAGAACAAAAATCATTCGAGAAGGAATCAGCATCAGTTTGCGACATTTAAATGTGCTGGCGGCGCTTTTGGGCCCGCCATTTGCATCCGAGATCGCGTTGATCGGCCATCTTGGTGCGTTTTTTTTTGCCGCCAACGCGCTCCTGTAGGTTTAGTGCACACTGAGGTTGTTTATTGTTATTTATTTCGAGAAAGAGGATACTGATTTTAATGAAATGGTTTGTATATGTTCTCTGGTTTGTATAGGTACTCACGGCCATCATGATTGAATCCACAAATTAGCCACAAGTCTGAACTTAAAGCTATAACTGAAAGTTTCAAAATGACTTTATGACGAGATCCCTTGAGCACGCAAGCAATGAGACAAATGACAATTAACCCTTAATAATTATGAACCTAAGTACTTCAATCGGCCAGAGGACACGGTGCAGCAAACGATGGCGGTGTGCCCTGCGTGGGCTGAGCACCCTGAGGATGTGATCAGAGACAGTGACCTCTCGGGTCCGGTTCTGGTTCAGACCATTTTACGGAGCAAGGGGGACTAGGATGCTAATACCTTCTTCTGCGAAGCAGTCATGCTAGCCGACTCGAAGTGCAGGAGTAGAAACGGGGCGGTTTTTAGTCAGAAAAAGTCTGACACTCCCTCTCGCCTCACCCGGGTGGGAGAAGTCATCTCTCATCTTACCCAAGATTAAAATGTCATTAGTGGTGGTTTGAAAAGGTTTTGTGAATAAAATTGGAGAAGTCATTGGATGATATTACCCAGTTACCTAAAAAACACCAGAAAGTATTTTGTGAGTAAAAACAAATTACATGAATATAATTATCTACTTTATAATATGTAGGTACTGATGAAGAAATTAATTAAATATTTCCCCGCCCTGAGGTACTCAGTGTACCACAGCCTTACCTCACGCAACATTTCGTTTTGTTCTTGCCCCATCTTATATTCGGTAGCGGCGCAGCAAAGGGACGCATTCAATTATTTACTCGTATTATTCTTGTTTATAACTGGTGTACGACTGTCGTATGTGATGGCTATCATCATACTCGCTAATTGGGAGCGGCCAGCTTCTTTTTAAAACTAGTGTAAGGCACGTAAAGGTTTTAATGTCAATGACCCTTTCTATGTACTTACCTAGTCTAAGATCTCGTAAAAGTAAGTACATAAAGAAATGCTAATGTTATGTAAAGCCAGTATGTTAAAGTTTTTTTTTGTTAAGGGGGGAAAATCATCGAAAGGGAGTGTCAGACTCTTACTGACTAAAAACCACCCCGTTCCTTCTCCTGCGCTTCGAGCCGGAGCCCCGGAAACCCGTTAGGTTCTCCGCGACTCCGAATCGCCCTGTTGGGCCCCATCCGTGGTGTTCTGATGGCTCTTTGAGGCGTGCGCAGAACGCAACGCTCCGTACGCTCGGGGGTATGTTAAAGTATAGTGTGATACCTACTTAGGTAAGTAACTAAGTAGTAGGTAATGTATTAGTGGATGGAGTGCCGACAAATTAGGTCTCATTGATCGACTGGTTGGAAGCGTGACTAAAGAGCAAAGTCTAGGCTAAGGCAGTAAGGCTAAGGTTCCCGGATTGAAATTATAAATATTTTTCGTTTTATAAAATTGTTTTGACTGCATTTATTACAAAACAGTTACGTATCTAAGATCTGTGCTTTTTAAATATGAGTATAATACCTCCGTAGCTCCTTAGAAGAAAAATAGAGCAATAAACGCCTAACCGGCACTTTTTGGATATAATACGGGACTCATGTTTTAATTACTTATTTTGGTTAACCAACAATTGTTTACATAACATAACATAACATCACGCCTTTTATCCTCGAAGGGGTAGGCAGAGGTGCCCATTATACCACTGTACAATGTAACACCCCCTTTTCACTATTTATGTTATGAGTCCCATGTAATAGGGGGTGAGCCTATTGCCATTTACCGGGCACAGTTCCAGACTCCGTGCTACTACTGAGATTTTTTTTTTTAAAAACCCAGTAATACTTTGCCCGACCCGGGAATCGAACCCGAGACCCCTTACCCGGCAGTCGCAATTGCGACAACTCGGCCAACGAGGCAGTCAGAACAATTGTTTACATTATAAACATTAAGTGCTGATTTAATAGCTAAAGAAACATTTACAAGTGCAACAATTAATTATAGGTTGCACCACATGCAAAATAAACGGTGAACAACAAGTAGGTCATAATAGGAAAATAACAAATGATTCCATGGGTGCATAGTAGGTGCATAAGAAAAAGAAAAAAAACATTGTGTTCGTCCTAATTATCTGTGTTTAAGCGGAAAGAAAGTCCAAGATAAGTACCTAGTTCTTGTTATAGCACTGCGGGTAAAGAGGAACCCCCTTTTTTTTAAGGGGTAAAATCATCGAATGACTGCTCCCGCCTGGGTGAGGCGGAAGGGAGTGTCAGACTCTTACTGACTAAAAACCACCCCGTTCCTTCTCCTGCACGTCGAGCCGGACCCCCGGTTACCCGTTAGGTTCTCCGCGACAAGAGGAACCCCTTATATCATGATATTGGTACGAGTAAGCTTGGTCCATAATTTCACAGCGTAAGCAATAAAAGAAGTATTTTTGGTAGCTTTTCAGGCATCGATCGGATTAACGTTATTTGTTTATTTATTTAGACTTAATAGGTACAAAAACATATGTACTTACAGGTGGACTTAATGCCTTCATTATCTAAAAGGAGACTGGAAAACATTCATAGCTTTTTGGCATCAACGGACTAAAATTACTGTGGGTTTTCAAGGACTAATATTTTATTTAGTGTTCAGCTCTGTATAATTAGCTTTTTTATATGACTTGTGATATTAAAATTAAGAATTTAAGTTAACTGAAAATATTTTAATCATTGTTCAAGCTGGTAGGTATGTACTTAGATAAAACCGTCCAAAGATGGTATATTTCTAATGCTGCGTAGTTGGCTCAATTTCAAGTTGCTGCCCCATTAGATTCCCACTAGGAACAACTGTGTGAGATCCATTAATTTTGTTTCGGGTCTGGGTGTCATGTGTATGTGAACTTGTATGTTTGTAAACGCACCCACGACACGGGAGAAAACCGTAGTGTGTCCAACATTTAAAAAATAAAAATAAATGAGGTTGAAAATAAAAAAACAATAAATTCAATATAATAATAGAACATTTAATATTATCCAATAACATAAGAGTATTTGCTAACAATATCCTTATAGAAATCGAACACCAGTTGGCTAGCTGACCGGCAGCGCTCGAGGGCTTCTTTATACGCATCTTCACTAAAACTGCCATTTGTCAGGGCTGCAAACGAAAGAATATTACATTAGACAATGTACATTGAAAATCATCCCCTAAATTAGTTCATACAAAAGTAGTCTTTAAACATTGGAAAAAAGGTCTATAATGTGAGTGGAGATCGGTCCACCGGTCGGGTCACCGGTGACCGGGGATATATGGGTTTGTTGTGCGTGTCCTTGTGTACTATTTGGTGAATAAGAAAAATGTATTTTGATGAAATAAATGTCTTTAATTTCGGTTCCACAATACTTCGTTATTACTAACTACGTACTATGTAGATGTCGAGGCAGGGCGGTGTGACGTACGCGACTGGCGAGCCGAGCGCCCGCGCTCCCAGGTTTCGACAATAATGCAACTCAGCAATTTGCGGTTACTAAGCCGCCACATCACACCCCCCCTTTCTCAAAAAAAATTTTTACATAAAAAAATTTTTAATTTACCTATGTATGTTTAACACTAAAACCACATGCTTACGTCACTAATACAGTACTCGGACGTCTCTAAGCTTACAATAACATTATATACCTGTCAGCATTCCAACAGTTGAATGCTGCCTATTGTTTATACCCTGCAGCTAAAAATAGATTATAGTACTCCTTACTTTCTAACATGTTCGCGGATTCCTCATTGCCTCAGCTCCGAACCGCCTTGACAAATTAAAAATATATATACTATTATGTTATTAAAAATATACGTTACGTTAAATTACGTAATTTGCAAACGTTGACCCACCGACGTTTGCAAATTACGTAATTTCGTGTGACAAAAGAGTAGGCGACTCACTAAGTGCTCGAGGCAGAGGCATATGAACCGCGTGGTGCAAAGTGCAGAAGTGAGGTTATAAAGCAACGCGCACATATCCGCTCATCAAAATGAACCCGCAACTGGTACCAGGTACTCCAGGCGCTACTCCAGCAACGGCAGCGGACATAGCGATGGTTACGGTGCAAATGAGAGTTCCAGAATTTTGGAGAGAACTACCGAGGTCGTGGTTCTGTCAATTCGAGGCGATTATGGCACCACAGAAACAAGGCGACACGCAGAAGTACGACATGGTGTTGGCAAAATTACCCACAGACGTTTTGCAGCAGGTAACCGATATTATCGAAGCACCACCGGAATCACGTCGGGGTCACCAGTGTTGTGCGTGTCCTTGTGTACTATTTGGTGAATAAGAAAAATGTATTTTGATGAAATAAATGTCTTTAATTTCGGTTCCACAATACTTCGTTATTACTAACTACGTACTATGTAGATGTCGAGGCAGGGCGGTGTGACGTACGCGACTGGCGAGCCGAGCGCCCGCGCTCCCAGGTTTCGACAATAATGCAACTCAGCAATTTGCGGTTACTAAGCCGCCACAGGTTAATGTAGATACCTAATTAATGTTTGTTTTTTTTATGAGATAAGCCGGTAAACTACTAGACGGATCACCTGATGGTAAGCAATGGGCGTCGCCCATGGACATTTGGAACACCAGAGGCGTTACAAGTGCGTTACCGGCCTTTTGGGGATTAGGAGTTTGAGAATAGTTGGAGGTTCAGGGATTGGGGAAAAGGGTGGAGGTAATTGGGCCTGAGGTAACCTCACTCACATGACGAACCACAACGCAAGCGTAGCTTCACGTCGGTTTTCTGTGAGGCCGTGGTACAACTCTGGTCTAGCCGTGCCGAAGCATGCCTCACACACACTTAATTTGTAGTTGCAGTCGCGAAAGAGGTATGTAGGAATCGTAGCAATTGGCGTTCCATAGTCTCTGCCTACCGCTATGGGAGACAGACGTGAAGTTATGTATGTATGTATGCAGTGGCAAAGTCGATTCTCAGATTGGGTGAGACAAAGTATTGTCAAAGTTATCGATTTTGAGATTCGGTGGGTATCGTAAGCCCCGGTTAGGGGCTGTACGTTGATAGATAGAGACCGGGTAGCAACATTCTGATACACCAAAACTTTTACATTACGACCTCTAACTCTCCTGGGAACCAATGAACCATAGAGATTAAGGCCTGGGCTGATGCGATAAAGGATTAGGTTAGATGCGCAAGTAACAACATCGATGCACCAACGCTAGTCAGTGGGCTACGCGACATCGCCGCGTGAAAACTGAGGGTTACATTGTACAGTGGCATTAAGTGGCGTAATGTGCACCTCTGCCAACCCCTTCGGGGATAAAAAGACGTGATGTTATGCTGTTTCTTTTAAAATACCAAAACAAAAATCTTCATAGAGACGACCTGTTGGTCGCTATGAAGGTTGTTGTTTTTTGTCCAGTAATGAATTAATAAAATGAAAAATCAAGCAATACCCACAAGTAATCAGCCTCTTCTCTCTGCTATCAAAGACAAAGTTCATGGTGGCGCGAGCTGTCTCAAGCTGCGTGGCGTCGGGGTCGAGCTGTATGTTGCCGTGCTCGTCCACGGCGCAGGACACGCCGGCGAACGTGTGCCGCATCGCTACGCCCGCGTTCAGTAACGCCAGGCACGCACAGTTTATTGAACATACTGTGAACTGGAACAGAAATAACCTTTTAAATTATTATGTTTTCGGCTTACTCACGTAGTAATTTGACGAGGAACTCGACTAGTTTCAAGCCATGCTAGAGACTCATATTCATGAGTAGCATTCCGCGACCCGCGACGCGGCGACTGTCGCGCTGCTCTAATATGGTCTATGCTAACAGATCCATATGTTGAAACAGCGAAACACAACACAAGGTTTATTTAACACCAAACTAGCCCATTCAAGCATGGCTTTCGGTACCTGTAGTTCTAATTTTTTTTTTTTTTTATATTTGATGGGGCGACTTTTGACCACTATCTCGCCTGGTGGTAAGCGATGATGCGGTCTACGATGGAGCACGTCGTCCCATAAGCAACCTATTCACTCGGGCCTTGAAGACTCCCAGGTTATACCCTTCAGGAAATACAGACTCTGGCAAAGAATTCCACTCTTTAGCAGTACGCACAAGGAAGCTTGAAGCGAAGCGCTTCGTGCGTGTGGGCGGAACATCTACCATGAATCGGTGACGCTTCGCCGATTGTCTTGTGTAATTACTTAAAAACAGTATAAACCATGGTACTTACGCCTCCATAGTCCTCCAACTCCTGTATGGTGACTGTGATGCCAGTTCTTGGGTACAGACTGCCCAGGATAGCACTCTCACATGTCTGTCTGATCACATGCTCCTTGTATCTGGAATGTTATTACAGAAGAAACAATTAAATTGTCTATTATTTATCTAAATAACCTTAAATTGTTAATGAGTATCCATGGAGTTTCTTGCTAATGCTTATCTATAGGAAGCTACGCTAAAGTAAAGGAATAGAATAGACATAATATTTTAAAAGTAGTTTTACTATCTGAAGCTTATTAAATGCTTTATTATTAAGTAAATAAAGTCCTTAGTATTAGTTTGTTTTATATATAAAGTAATCGAAATGATACTGTGTTCGGTGCTGTGATGTGTCAGCTCAAATTCGTTCCCGGGTTCCAGGGTTCCATTCCCGCACGGAACAACACTTTGTGTGATCCACTAATTGTTGTTTCTGGTCTGGGTGTTATTGTATATGTGAACTTGTATGTTTGTAAACGCACCCACGACACAGGAGAAAATCCTAGAGTGGGGCAACACATTCATTAAAAAAAAAAAAAATGAACCAACAAATCACAGTTTCAAACACAGTTTTGTTTTGATTACTTTATTATAAAGTAATCATTAGATCTTCAGAATAGGTTCCTAAATGAAAAAGATCAAGAGATCTTTATAACTCTTCTTTACCTGTCTGCTACTGAAGGTTTTCCAACCTTGCTAGTGAATAGGACCTCAAGTGTAGCCTTCTCTATGCTCTGGCTAGTCATCTTAATGTCTAGAGGGCCGTTCACACTCACTAGTGCCACGGTTTGACCTGGAATAACAACATTACATTGATAATTGATTTTAATCTGTTATGACTGTCTTTTAGAAATGTTTATAACGAATATACATAAATTTAAACAGTATATTAAGTTCTACTAAAAACTTCTACGCCAATATTCAAATAAATGCTAGATAATAAACAGAAACCAAATACCTTGAGACAAAATAGCCGATCCATCGGATTTACTCAGAAAGTTGCACTCGCATTTCATCGGTCTCAGTTTAAAATCTTTTAAATCAGTGTTCTCGACTTCCATTATTTCTTTGAACAGGTTTTATAGTTGTAAATCTACAAATAATAAAGTTTGTTTTGAAGAAAACGTGTGCAGATCTCACTGAACTTCAACTTTTGAAGAATTCTGACATTGACGTTTGACATCCGTATTCGTGTGACAGTGTAATAGACGCGTTCGATTTTAGGAAATGCCCTTGGTCAACAGCAACCTGCAAATGGTTGCTATAGTATAGTATAGTAGCTAGTAGAAAGTTAGAATCTCAATAACATTAGGACCATTAGGTCCTTTCTTATTTGGAAAACTACATTATTAAAAATATTTACCGATGCATTCGTTTGACTGTCAACGTCAAGCTAAAAAGTGTCATCAATTTGATAATTCGATTCGTGTCAATCCGTCAAGAATTTTGTCTTCAGCAATATTTTGATGAAGACAAAATTATATTAAAAACGTTGTGAAATAGTGGAAATAAGCCGCAAAAATGAAGAACAGATTCAACACATATGATATTATGTGCATGGTCACAGAATTACAAAGGTATCTTTCAAATTAAATAACTTAAAAAATAAGAAACAATTTTTTGTTGACGAATTAAAATTAATCGCAATGAAATCAACCCACGTTTCAATAATTGATTTTAAATTATATAATGTAGTTATACAGTATAACAGAAACATCCCCAAGAAATAAAAAAGGCATGTATCTAATTAAAACATTAATCAATCTTTAATTCTGGCTAGGTTATTGAAAATGCACTTTATTTCTGTAGTATTTCATAATCTTTGTTTTTTATTATACTGTATTGCAACACAAATGTGAAACAAATTTACATTGTTCAATTTTAAAATTAAACTTAAGTATTTTGATTTAAAATTTATTAAACTATTTAAAAATAAAACAGTAACCAGGTTTCAAATTAATATTGCTTCAGTGAGTCATTACATATATAGATAGAAATCTTGATAGATAATACTTGAAAATAATAATAACAACTCAGTCTTTACATTGCAAGATAAGTAAGTTTTTTTTTCTGTGTTGTGTAATGCACAACACAGAAAAAAAAACTTACTTAAAAAAAATATTTATATTTTCTTGAACATAAACATTCATATATTTGAAGAGACAGTAGCTATTGTATATAATAGATAATAGAATATATTAAAACCCTAATCAGCTTGTAAATGCCAAGCTGATCAATCTATTCTTACCTGCTTACCAAATTCTGAGTCATGATGGCTGGGAGGTTGAAGACGACCTCTTGTCATGCATACGGGTGTGGGTTCGAAACCTACCAACAACTAGTACCAATGAGACTTTTTTCAAGTTAACACAGGCTATACAAGATTACGCTACAATCAATTTTAGTGGAGCAGAGTGTGTGAAAGAGTGCAGAAATAACTAGTTTAATATACACATTTCTGTTCATTTTACTTCTAGACTAATTGGAATGCGAGTAAACCAAGTCTATGACATAGACAACAAGACATATGTGATCCGTCTACAGAGGTCGGAGGAGAAGAGTGTGCTACTCTTGGAGTCCGCCAACAGATTCCATACCACACAGTTCGAATGGCCCAAGAATGTTGCTCCATCTGGATTTACTATGAAGGTAAAATTTAGTAGATAGCAGGTAAGTTTATTTAGTATGTCGTGGTGGCCCGGACGTTTAAGACGCCCATTTCTCATGCATGAGGGTGTGACTTCGAAACCTACCAACAGCAAGAACCAATGGGTGCATTTACAGACATACAAGTTAACATACACATGACACCCAGACCTGAAACCACAGTTTATGGACCACACAGAGTTGCTCCGTGCAGGAATCGAACCCGCTCCACGCCACCGCATCCACCATGTAATATTTTCGACATCCCTCAATTTAGTTTTTATAGCCATGTAAACAATCAAACAGTTTATAACTTTGAGCCCCAATTTGGCTAGAAACTAATTAAGCATCTTCATACATTACACTTGTCAAAATTAACATTACTCTTCATTTTCCAGCTCCGAAAACACTTAAAAAACAAACGCCTGGAGAAGCTCTCACAGTTGGGCATTGATCGTATAGTAGACCTGCAGTTTGGCAGCGGGGAGGCAGCGTATCATGTCATTCTGGAGCTGTATGACAGGGGTAACATAGTGCTCACTGACTACGAGTGGACTATACTTAATGTGCTCCGGCCTCATGTTGAAGGGGATAAGGTTAGGTGAGTTGGTTTGTGATATATTTCAAGGTTTTTCTCAAAGGAGTATATTTTTGAGTAGAATGGACAGTAGTCAAGCACCCAATTACTACACAACCGCGCTGTCCAGTGACGTCCAGTGACGCTCAACACGGAAATCGAATCTAAGGCCGTATGTGCTCGGTAGTGAAAATGGTAACTATAGAGAGCCAGTTTTTTTTTACTTAAACACACTCTTTATAAGAAAAGACTGTCATGTCGTGGTGGCCCGGAGGTTTAAGACCCCCGTTTCTCATGCACGAAACCTACCAACGACAAGTACCAATGTGACTTTTTCCGAGTTATATATACTTTCTAAGATACTCTAGACACTATTGACAAACAGTCAAGGAAAACATGGTGAAGAAACCTGGGCTTATAATTTCTAATTATAAGTTTGAAATCGCCAACCCGCACTGAGCAAGCGCGGTGATTAATGCTCAAACCTTTTCCGTGTGAGAAGAAAGAGGCTTTGCTCAGCAGTGGGTATTTGGCTGTTGATGAGAAACACACACACACACACACACAACACTCAAAGAGAGTATGTTTCTGTAACTTACTATAGCTAAAATCAATATATTCATGGACCTATATTTAATGCTTTCATTTACTGCTCACAGGTTTGCAGTAAAAGAAAAGTATCCATTAGACAGAGCGAAAACGAGCTACGCAGCGCCATCTGCCGAGGCTCTACAGGAGATACTCACCAACAGCAAGCCAGGAGATAATCTGAAGAAAGTACTTAATCCTAAATTAGGTAAATATTTAATTTTTGTTTACGTTTGTTCTCCAAAGATATTGGCACAAGTGTCATTCTACTTATGTAGACTTTTTCGTCAGTTTGTTATGAACCCTTTATGAGACTATGAGAAGCAGCAGAACATTTTGATTTCCTAAAACCTCCCTAGGACCCCACCTACTGTGTGTCAAACGCAAAAACCACTTGGTAGTCACTTGCAAGTATTGCAATTTTATTATTATAAAATATTGTCCCTTGATTATTGTTCCTGTATCGTGTAGCGTTTTGAGACACATATTATCACATACAAATCACACGCGGAACAATAATTATTAATGGATCATTAACCGGAGTGATACCATGGCGTCACAGAAAACCGACGTGAAACCGCGCTTTATCCATCCCCATCTGCTTCAATCTCCCCATTCCTAAAAGGCCGGTAACGCCTCTGGTGTTCCAAGTATCCGTGAGCGACGCCGATTGCTTACCATCAGGTGATCCGTATGCTCGTTTATCGGCTTATCCCATTAAAAAACCCACTTTGCCCAGCTTCTACGCCAATCTAGCAGTCTCTCTGAAACCATGTCTATTATAATGAAAAATCTATTAAACAGTATCTTTATCTTGTCCACAGAATTCGGTTCAGCAATCATAGACCATGTTCTACTAGAGAATGGTCTGTCAGGCACCATGAAAATTGGTAAGGAGCCCGGCAAGGGGTTCAATGTGGAACAGGATCTGGAGAAGCTGGTGAAAGCGCTGAAACAGGCTGAAGAACTGCTGGATGTTGCTAGGACGCAGGTGGCCAAGGTAACTATGAGTAGTTTATTAAAATAATAATCCTTCTTTTTAACCGACTTCAAAAGAAGAAGGTTGTTAGTTAAATCTGTCTGTATGTTTGTGCGCGGATTGGATGAACCGATTTTGGTGCGGTTTTCAGAAAAGTATTTGTTAGACTTAGGAGAAGCCTTCTCCTTAAACTGTCAAACACCGCGAAGTCACCGGTGACCGCAACCTATTGTTCTTTAATTGTGTCTATAATGACGGTACTGAAAGAGTTAATTAATATACTAAAACCTTAGAATTTACTACTCCCTGAACCCCTTGCCGGAGTCCTTGCCAATTTTCTCCAGACAGACCATATTAACAGACCATTGTATACTGACTTCAAAAAAGGGGGGTTGAAGTCGGTTTTTTTAACCATATTTTATAAAAGAATTATGCCCGTTTTAAAACGCGAATCGTATAACGTGTTTTTAGCTAAGTCATATTTTTCCACATAGTAATAATAAAAAAAATATATTTTTTCCTGAATGAGATCGTTCCTTGTTTTTTCGTTACTGAAACCTTGCCCCTATTTCGTTGTGTAATACGGTAGTTTCTTAAATTTTATTTTAATGCCCATCTGGTACATTAATTTTTGGACACGTATTTTTTCTTTTCTCGACGATATAATAATTTGAAATATCATGTGACGTCACGACCTAGCAGGGCTCGGAGATCACATTAACAAAGGTTCAGGTTTATTTAATTGCAAATGTGAAGAACTTTTATGATTTTACTCCTTTTTGGTCTTCTCAGGGCTACATAACACAGAAGAAGGAGACCCGTCCGAACCCTAATGGAGAAGGCTCCAGTTTCCTGCTCATCGGGCAGGAGTTCCACCCGATGTTATTTGCTCAGCATCGAGAGATGCCCCACGCTGAACATGAGACCTTCGACCGAGCGGTGGATGAGTTCTTCTCTACTCTAGAAGGACAGAAGATTGATATGAAGGTAAAATGAGTTTAGTAATTTATATGACTGCCTCGTTGGTCTCGTGGTCGCAAGTGCGACTGCCGGGCAAGGGCTCTCGGGTTCGATTCCCGGGTCGCGCAAAGTACTACTAGGATTTTAAAGAAATTCACAGTAGTAGCACGGAGTCTGGAATTGTTCCCGGTATATGGTAATAGGCTCACCCCCTATTACATGGGACACATAACATAAATAGTGAAAAGTGGGTGTTACATTGTACAGTGGCATTAAGTGCCGTAATATGTGCCTCTGCCCTACCCCTTCGGGGATAAAAGGCGTGATGTTATGATGTTATGTAATTTATATAAAGAGATACTAGACTAGAAATGAATATTTGTAAAAATATTGAGTTTACTGACTGTGCACTCTTAAGTTGCTTTAATAGTCGAAACATAGGTCGCCATCTATCGCCCTACATTTCATACCTACTTTGACGAGAATACCCGACTAGTTTCACCTAATATTAATTAAGGGCTCCAAAACAACTCGAAACTAATTGAGCATCTTCAAAAAGTATTTTATTAAATGTATAGAGTTTCATAATGTATTCCTGTTATTGTGTTGTAATAAATAAAAAAACTTAAATCGTAATAAACCTCTTCAAGACGGTGCAAGTGGAACGCGAAGCTCTAAAGAAGCTGCAGAACGTGCGCAATGACCATGAGAAGCGAGTGACAGAGCTGTGCCGGGCTCAGGACGAGGACCAGAAAGCTGCTGAGCTGATCTCCCGGAACCAACCTCTCGTGGAGCAGGCGAGGTTGGCTGTACAGGCTGCTATTGCGAACCAGGTCAGTTATATTAAAACAATTAGGGCCAATTTTTCAATGCTCAGTTAAATTTGATCAAAGGAATAACTTTGAATATTTGACAATTCTTCCATACACTGTCAAGTGTCAATTTTATTGTGACAAATGAAACAAGTGAATTTATTCCTGCAAATAGGCTACAAGGCAGCACTTTTACACGTCAATTTTAAGCGAACGATGAGGTCGACATTTCCTAACTGACTACTCTGAGAAGAAATGCCGAAACAAACTCAGAGGTCTGTCTCTTTTAAAGTCCAGACAGTTATTCTACAGTTAAGCCTTTGACTGCCGAATGAAAACTGCTGATGGCAAATCCTCCGCTAACGTAGGTCACCGGTGACCAACGCACGCAAATCACGTAAAAAATACAAGATTAAAAATATACTGTTTACTAATGCATTTTAGCCGAATTAATATCTAAAAGATATATATGTTTTTTGACAATCATGAGAGAATGTGAATAAAATCAAACAGCCTACTAATAATTTTACTGAAATTTCCGTTCACAAATAACTGCATTGAGCCCTCAAGCGATACTAGCGCCACACCAAAAAAATAATCACATTCAAAAATAAACCATACACCAGTCACCTTACCTCTCAATTTCCATCACCAGATGTCATGGGACGACATACACCTCCTAGTGAAGACGGCCCAGGACAACGATGATCCCATAGCGTCCTGCATCAAGCATTTGAAGCTGAACACCAATCATATCACCTTGTTGTTGACTGACCCTTATGATGAAGAGGATCTGAAGCCGATGCTGGTGGATATCGACCTGTCGCTCACTGCTTATGCTAATGCTAGAAGGTAAAATCTATACTAATATTACTAGCGACCTGCCCCGGCTTCGCACGGGTGCAATATGCATGCATTATACATATAAACCATAGTCTGACACTCCCTTCCCCCTCACCCAGGCGGGAGCAGTCATTCGATGATTTTCCCCCCTTAAAAAAAAATTTATAAACCATCCTTAAGAATCACTCCTTCTATTAAAAAAACCCCATAGCAGCGCCATACAGACAAATAATTAGCAATAAATTAAAATTGCGACTAATTTGAGATTTAAACTATCCTATCTCTCAAGTTGGATCGAACTACACATGGTGTGCGAATTATATTATAATCGGTTAAGTGGTTTAGGAGTCCATTGAGGACAAACATTGTGACACGAGATTTATATATATTGAGATAAAGCTGTAGAGTTAGTTTGTTTGTGTGAATCTCCGGTAGTACTGGTTCGAGCTGTATAAAGTGCTTTGTTAGGTAGTCGTAGTCCATCTATCAAGGAAATACATAGCGGTACGGTACGCAATAGGAACCGAGAAGCATTGAAACCGCGCAAAAACGCTAATAAATAGTAAAAGTTAGAGCTGAGTAGTCATTTTTTTTTATAGAGTAATTTTTTTCTAAAATACTACAGCATAAATTAATTATGTGGTGTGTCGTGGTGGCCCGGAGGCTTAAGACGCCCGCTTCTCATGCATGAGGGTACAGGTTCGAAACCTACCAACGGCAAGTACCAATGTGACTTTTTACGAGTTATACGTACTTTCTAAGATTATTTAGACACCACTGACAAACGGTGAAGGAAAAACATCGTGAGGAAACCTGGGCTTATAATTTCTAATTATAAGTTTGAAATCGCCAACCCGCATTGAGCAAGCGTGGTGATTAATGCTCAAACCTTCTCCGTGTGAGAAGAGGCTTTGCTCAGCAGTGGGCATTTATAGGCTGTTGATGATGATGATGAAATTAATTATGTTTTACAACTTACTCACGTTATTATTTGACAAGGAAACTCGATTAGTTGCAAGCCATTGGCTCATGGTCATGTATTGCACAATAAACAATACGCGGTTGGCACGGTGTTGCGAAGTGTTTTTATAGTACAAAAATACATTTTAAAGGGCAGCTAAAATTAACACTGCCTCATTGGCGGAGTGGTCGTAAGTGCGACTGCCGGGCAAGGGGTCTCGGGTTCGATTCCCGGGTCGGTCAAAGTATTACTGGGTTTTTAAACATACTCGGTAGTAGCAATACGGAATCTGGAGTTGTGCCCGGTATATGGCAATGGGCTCACCCCCTATTACATGGGACTCATAACATAAATAGTGGATAGTGGGTGTTTTTTTTTGTTCATTTAACAGTGGCATTAATTGCCATAATGTGCATGTCTGCCTACCCCTTCGGGGGATAAAAGGCGTGATGCTAAGTATGTCTCAAATTAACATTTAAAGGTACTACGACCAAAAACGCAACGCAGCCAAGAAACAGCAGAAGACGTTAGAATCCGCCGGCAAAGCGCTGAAGAGTGCGGAGAGAAAGACCAAGCAGACGTTGAAGGAAGCTCACACTGTCAGCAACATCATCAAGGCGAGGAAGACTTACTGGTTCGAGAAGTTCTTCTGGTTTATCTCTTCTGATAATTATCTGGTGAGTACTTTCAATTCCTATTACGCTTACAGAAGTAGTAGTTCATACTCATATCATCATTGTTAATAAAGACGGGAAGTCTTAGTTTTTAGGCAGAAAGACTTATTGTGAGATCCTAAATCACTAAAAACTCGTTAAGTTCTTTATTACTGCCTCATTGGCCGAGTGGTCGCAAGTGCGACTGCCGGTCAAGGGGTCTCTGGTTCGATTCCCGGGTCGGGCAAAGTATTACTGGGTTTTTTTCAGTGGTAGCACGGAGTCTGGAACTGTGCCCGGTATATGGCAATAGGCTCACCCCCTATTACATGGGACTCATAACATAAATAGTGAAAAGTGGGTGTTACATTACAGTGGCATTAAGCGCCGTAATGTGCACCTCTGCCTACCTTTTCGGGGATAAAAGGCGTGATGTTATGTATGTATGTTCTTTATTAGTGTTGATGGTGGCTGCCTAGGAGGACTGGGTCTCCGAAGATATAATCTTAAACTGAAAGAAATAAGCATACCACCCCTTCCCCCTTTTAGGGGTAAAAGGGGGTTTCTATGATATGATAAATTTGACAAGTTGTTAGGAGATTGCAGTTAGCTTGCAAACTTAAAAATCCGTGCTATCTCCCCCACCAGGGCATTGCTTGTCCGTCTCTACATGAATGTATATTTTAGAACGATCAATATTTTCACTTCAAAGCATCTTCAGAACTTCACTACGGAGCCGACAGAAACGTTTATCATGTTACTTTTTAACTGACAAACTCAATATTAAGTCGCGCTTAAGTATAGTTCTGTCAATACAATTTTTTTATAAAATGACATTAATATCTTTATTATAACTATCGTGAGATATGTATATGAGTTTAGTATGCTAAACTAATTAAATATCGCGGGTTACTCACGTGAAAATACTGAGAAAAGCTCTACTAGCGGCCATGTCAGCACGCTGCGCGACATCGCTATGACTGCGCACGCTCATGAGGAAGAGCCCCTTTGTGGCTCGAAATTAGTAGAGCTTTTCTCAATGCTTTCACGTGAGTAGCTGGCGATTTTTGGTTAATGACAGAGATAGCACTATATTTAAGTACAATTTAAAATTGAGTAGCCTTTCAGTATTCAAGCGTATTTTAATTATAATAAGTTATTTGACGTCTTTCCTCTTAAACATAGCACTATATTCGCAGGTGATAGGCGGGCGCGACCAGCAACAGAACGAGCTGCTGGTGAAGCGGTACCTGCGCGCGCGCGACGTGTACGTGCACGCGGAGGTGACGGGCGCGTCCTCTGTCGTCGTCAAGAACCGCGCCGCCGGGGACGTGCCGCCCAGGACGCTCGCCGAGGCGGGACAGGCTGCCGTAGCTTATAGGTCATTATTATACCTTATTTGCTTATTTTTTTATGGAAGTATGGCAAACGAGCTTTCGGACACCTGATACTAAGTGATCAGCACCACTCATGAACTCTCGCAACACCAGAAAACTTAATCAACTTATAAATGATTTGTAATGATGAAATATCTATATTCCAATCAAAATAATAATAAACAAAGTTAAATTGCTTTTAACTATACCTAAACATTCTGATACGCAATCATAGACATCATGATTTCATTGTAACCTTTTTTTCAAGACAGACGATAGAGTTTCTGGCTCGTTCTTCTCCATTAGAACTACATTTTGGAACGAGCACTTAGGTTCACTGACAGACTGACTGACAGACAATTCAAAAGTGCCTTATTAACGCTTCATTGAAATAAATGCTTTTGACTTTGGCTTTAACACCCACTTTTCTCCATGCACGAATGGGCCGGCTCGACCTCTGTGATACCACGGCCTCACAGAAAACCGACGTGAAACAACGCCAGCGTTATTTCACTTCGTGTGAGTGAGGTTACCGGAGGCCCAATTACCCCCTCCCCAGTCTCCCGATACCCCAAATCCTCTACAATCCTCAAATTCCCAATCCCCAAAAGGCCGGTAACGCACTTGTAACGCATCTGGTGTTCCACGTGTCCATGGGCGGCGCCGATTGCTTACCAAAAGGTGATTTCGTCTTATGGTATAAAAAAAAATTTTATGAGCTCCATAAAGGGTGAACCTCAAAGCTCGGTAATATTTCGTCGTGTTTGTCTATCACTATCATAATCCTAATATTGCAATTCACTCCATAGCGTGGCCTGGGAAGCGAAAGTCCTGACCCGTGCATGGTGGGTGTACGCGTCCCAAGTATCGAAGTCCGCACCCACGGGCGAGTACCTCACGACCGGCTCCTTCATGATCCGTGGACGCAAAAACTACTTGCTACCTGACCATCTGCAGTTCGGATTCAGTTTTATGTTCCGGGTAAGTCTATACACTATATTTTCTTCTAAGTTTCTGTTGGCTATATCCTTCAAGAAATGCAAAAACAAAAATAAAATCTGAATCGATTGATTCATATTACAATAAATTTGCTAATATGATAGTAAATAGCACTATAAAATACCCCGTCTCTCCCCGCCTGTCATTTTCCACTACCCCTTACCCCTTCGATCGACTCTACCGTTTTCCCCTCATTCTGATTTATCTCCCGCTCCTCCGCCTCAATCTCTTGCTTCATCTATCTCTCTACCCCTTCCCCCTCTGTACCCCCTCCCCCTCTGTACCCCCCCTCCCCCTCTTTCGCTATCTCATTTACTGATGTTACCTTTTCCATTTAAGTAACATTATACTTTACGCTCCCAGTTGGAGGACAGTTGTATAGAGCGTCACCGCGACGAGCGCAAGCCGATCGCGCTGGACGACGCGTCCGTGGTCACCTCCACGCAGGAACTGGAGGAGGACCAGGAGATACTCGTCTCTGATGATGGTGAGCATATTACATGAATTTTATAAGAAAGTCGGTTGTTAAAATATTTTGTACCTTATTTGTATAGAGTTAACGCTGATTATTCGATATTCAAAAGCGTATGTTTTCCAAAATATTATGACGATGCTATAATTGCAATTGGGTACTTTCTTTAATCAAAAATTTCGACTGTTCAATACAATAAAATACCTATAAAAAAATGACACTTTCATTAATTGATTTTATGATCGATTAATTTTAGTTTTTTGACAGCAAATTTTTAAGAAATAAGTATGATGTTTGACTCGTAAAAACAAGACGTCACAATACACAATCTCGTACAAAATTCATAGAAAACTGTCGTTTTTGACAGTTCGAAAATGGATTGTATTTGACTAATTGGCAGGTACCCAATTATGTGTCACAGTGATTTCTAGCTTAATTTTTGGGACATTTAGTAGATCTTACCATGTCCGTCCCTTTCACGGTCCAACTCTTTGTGACACTGATCTGATCACGAAACTTATTCAATAAAACATTGTTAAGCATGTTTTACAAAACTTTTCGTTTTAAAATAATACACATTTTATAATAAAACGTGTCATACTTTGTAAAACTTTTCGTATTACATATTTTTTTTTATATATTTTGCTACAATCTTTACAAATTGTCATTTAAGGATTTTTTCTCCGTTTCTTTTTAGTTATTTAAAATGTATAACGCCTTGGTTTAATGACTGTAGTCTTATACTATTCTAATTTTAATAAATAAATAATGACCTAATGATCGTAATGGAATAATTATTTTGAACTATTAAATAGCAAGTATTTGTCCTAAAATAATAATACAAATCTCAACAGACGAGCCATCAGATAAAGAAGAAGAAAAAGAAGAATCCAGCAAATTAGACGCTATAAGAGAAGAGTCACAACCAGCTGGAGAAGATACAGAAGCCACAGAAGACAAAGAAGCAGAGGAGATTGAACAAAGAGAGAATGAGAAGCAGAAAGAAGAGGATTCGGACGATGACAGTGATTCTTCTGAGGAGGATGCTCTTGATACACATATTAAGGTATGATAAGGTGTCTTTTAATTTTAAAAATCTTATCTTTATCGCTACCCCTTCTCCTACCACGGGTATCGTCAAGTGCCGACTAAGTGTGGGAGAGCCATGCTTCGGCGCGAATGGGTTTGCTCGACCGGAGTGATACCACGGCCGAGCAGAAAACCGACGTGAAGCAACGCTTGCGTTGTGTTTCGTCGTGTGAGTGAGGTTACCGGAGGCCCAACCCCCTCACCAATCTCCGAATCCCCAATAAATCCTCAAATTCCTAATCTCCAAAAGGCGGTAACGCACTTGTTACGCCTCTGGTGTTTCGGGTGTCCATGGGCGGTGCCGTGTGCTTACCAGGTGATCTGGCAGCTCGTTTACCGGCTCATGCCATAAAAAAAAATTGAACTCCACAAAGTAATATAAGGTTTTCCTTACCTTTTTTGTTTGTTACTATGTGTGACGTTTGTTTTTTATGTTTATCTTAATTCCAGGTGGACCACGGTACCGGCGAGGTGTTCGTCCGATCTACATCCAGAACTATTTCCGAAATGTCGGATAGAAGTAAGACTATAATATTTTTTGTATTTTTAATTATACATGAACAGCTTTTTTGTGAGGTGGAACGGAGAGTCAGACTCCTGACTAAAAACCACCCCGTTCCTACTCCTGCACTTTTCACGAGCCGGAGCCTCGACAACCGTTTACGTCCTCCGCGGCTTCGTATCGGCATCAGCCCTATTGGGCCCCATCCGTGGTGATCTGATGGCTCTTTGAGCCGTTCACACGGGTCTAGTTCTGGTCGGGCGGCGAACTACTCATGCTCGCCGTCCGCAGGCCCGTGCTCGCCGTCCACAATTGCTCTACTAAAATAATAATAATAATAATAATTTCCTGCCTGCATACCAAATTACTTGGCTGTCAACACTTATCAAAATTACTATTGATTAATCTTAGGCGAAGACAAAATGCCATCATTCCCGTCGTTACCAAAGAAGGGAGGTAAGAAGCAGCCGCAGAAACAGCAGAAGACGAAAGAAGAGAAGCAAGAGAAGAAAGAAGGAATGAAACGCGGACAGCGCAGCAAGTTGAAGAAGATCAAGGAGAAGTACAAGGACCAGGATGATGAGGACAGAGCTATTATGATGGAACTGCTACAGGTCAGTCCAAGAAACTTGTGGTTCTGGTAAAGATAGCTTGCTTAGAATTTCAGAGAAGACCTTTGTCAGTGGAAATGTAGTTGAATGTTATGAATAAGGAGCATAAATGTACGGTCAAAGGTCAAAAGTCCACTGCCACCGTAAGACTACTATCGGTTTCGCTGCAGCGCTTGTGGGACATGCACACGCATATTTGTATCCGTGTGCGTACGCGTGCGTGTGTTTATGCGTACGCACGCGTTTTTAAGCATATTAATATGAAATTACGTATTGCCGAGTGAACATCACTCATGGTGGCATGACTTTTGACCTTTGACTGTACAATGGTTTGATACTAGCAAATTCTCTCTTCTCAGTGTTAGACAACTTACCGAGCTTGAAACTAGCCAAATTCAATACTTTTTCCGAACTTCAAAAACGATAGTTTTCTATGACAACGGGCTGGTGCTGAAAATCAGCGCCGTGGGCTCGAGCCTCTGTGCCCGGTCCACGGTATTAAGCTGAGCTCCTGCCTTTTGCGCTGCGACGCACCATAGGCTATTTTTTGGGTTTCTAAATTCTTGTTGTGTGTCGTAGCAAAATAAATAGTTTTTCTTTCTTTCTTTCTTTCTTTCTATGAACTTTATATGAGATTGTGTATTGTGACGTCACCTTTTTATAGGGCATACTTATTTCTTAAAAAATTGCTGGAAAACAAATAAAATTAAGTTGGTCATAAAATCAATTAATGAAAGTATGATTGTTTTTTAATATTTTATTGCATTGAACAGTCGAAATAACTTATTTTTGATTAAGGAAAGTACACAATTCTGCCTGGCTCCTAGTGGCAACTTCGTGTGTAATAATCTTCATTGGAATATATCCAACGAAGCCTAGGTAGTTCAATACTTCAATTGACTGCACGGTTGGTGCGGTGGCTGGGCAACCGGCTGCCGTGCAACGTGTTGCGGGTTCGATTCCCGCACGGGACAACACTTTGTGTGATCCACAAATTGTTGTTTCGGGTCTGGGTGTCATGTGTATGTGAACTTGTATGTTTGTAAACGCACCCACGACACAGGACAAAATCCTAGTGTTGGGCAACGTTTTTTAAAAAAAAAACAAAAAAAATTGTTTATGCTGTGTTACGAGATTTGACATTGAGAATAAATGCGTTGATAAGTCAGATCAATTTATTTTTGACGAAGAAAACTTCCTCCGGACGTTACTTTATTTTAAATTGTCCGTCCTCCAGTCGGCTAAAGGCGAGAAGGAATCGAAGAAGGCCCAGAAGAAGGCTGCAGCGGCTAAGGCTAACAAGGTGAAGGTGCCCAAGGGAAGCAAGATCCCGCAGCCCGCGCCCCTACTGCTGGAGGCGGACTCCGAGCCTGAGGACCTGGAGAATGAACCTGATGTGAGTTCTGACATAGTAACATGTGTAATTTGACAAACATGACAGGGATTTTGACATTTATATTATAACTATCGGACTGCATCGTTGGCCGAGTGGTCGCAAGTGCGATTGCCGGGCAAGGGGTCTCGGGTTCGATTCCCGGGTCGGGCAAAATATTACTGGGTTATTAAAAAATTCTCAGTAGTAGCACGGAATCTGGAACTGTGCCCGATATATGGCAATAGGCTCACCCCCTATTACATGGGACTCATGACATAAATAGTGAAAAGTGGGTGTTACATTGTACAGTGGCATAATGTGCACCTCTGCCTACCTCTTCGGGGATAAAAGGCGTGATGTTATGTTATGAGGGGCCTCATAAGAAAGAGGTTTGTTCCGCATGTACATACAATGACACCATCTTCCTCTACAGGGTGCTTACTCTTGAAACCAATCTCAATGTCAATGCAATGTCAATGCAATTTCAATCCAATAAAATCTCAATAATTATTCAATGTCAAAACTATACAACCCCTATAATAACTGTTAAAATAGTATTCAGAGTACGGAATATAAATCTAAACTCAATACTATTTAGTTATTCGGAGTCGCGGAGAACCTAACGGGTAACCGGGGTTCCGGCTCGACGTGCAGGAGAAGGAACGGGGTGGTTTTTAGTCAGTAAGAGTCTGACACTCCCTCCCGCCTCACCCAGGCGGGAGCAGTCATTCGATGATTTTCCCCCTTTAAAAAAAAACTATTTAGTTCGTTCAATATCCACGCAAAAAGGATGCAATGGGCGCTAGTGTTGCACGTCGAGAGTACGAAATGTCACAATACCAATGTCGATCGATGGGAATTGGATTCAAGAGTAACCCCCATATTTCATGATACATCCCCCCTCCTGTCCTCAGTTGGAGCAGACAGGTCCGGACGCGGACTCCGACCTCCTGAACCAGTTGACTGGTGTACCAAACGAGGATGACGAGCTACTCTTCGCTGTACCTGTCGTGGCGCCATACTCCGCCCTTATAAATTACAAGTGAGTATTTCTATAACATATCTATATATTACTGGGTTTTTAAAAAATTCTCAGTAGTAGCACGGAGTCTGGAACTGTGCCCAGTATATGGCAATAGGCTCACCCCCTATTACATGGGACTCATAACACAAATAGTGAAAAGTGGGTGTTACATTGTACAGTGGTATAATGTGCACCTCTGCCTACCCGTTCGAGGATAAAAGGCGGGATGTTATGTATGTGTATCTATATAGATAAAAAATTGGAGTGTTTGTTTGCAATATTGAAATAACCGCTTTTTACTACACGCATATGAATATACATACGATACACATACCAAAATAACACTTTTGACTGTCTGTCTGTACTGGCTAATATCTGAAATAGCTTAACCGATTTTGACGGGACATTTATATGGCTACCTTATGTTACTTAAGTAAAAGATTTTTTACTTTAGAAAAACGCAGACGAAGTTCCGGGGTCATCTAGATATATAATTTTATTTGTGCGATATCAACAATGGTTTATCAACAACTCCCTAATACATGGGACCCGTAACATAAATAAAGAAATGTGGGTGTTACATTGTACAGTGGCATTAAGTGCTGTAAAGCTCATTTTCAATGTAGCTCACTCACTAACTCAATTTTTTTACATTCTATTTTATGAATAACTTGAATAATATTTTGCACGACACTAATCGTACTCAGCACCGTCATAACTTCATTAAACTGTCAAACACCAAGCGGTCACCGGTGACCGCAACCTATTGTTCTTTAATTGTGTCTATAAATACGGTACTCGACGAGTTAAGACTTTACACGACACAGTAATCGAACTCAGCTCCGTCTTAACTTCATTAATACTTTGCACGACACAGTAATCGAACTCAACACCGTCTTAACTTCATTAATACATTGCACGACCCTATAATCGAACTCAACACCGCACCATCTTAAAGTAACTAAACAGCAAAATAATGAAACCTAATTTTAATTCCAACCTATTTATTATTTCCTCAGATACAAAGTTAAGTTAACACCAGGCACCGGCAAGCGAGGTAAGGCAGCAAAGACAGCAGTACAAGTATTCCTCCGCGACAAGGCAGGCACTGCCAGAGAAAAGGATCTACTCAAAGCCGTCAAAGAAGAAAATATCGCCCGCAACTTCCCCGGCAAAGTGAAACTGTCCGCGCCACAGTTGCATAAACATAAGAAATAGAAACTTGTTTTTATAATAACTATCGTGAGACATACTGAATTGACTAATAATCGCGGGTTACTCACGTGAATATACTGAGAAAAGCTCTACTTGAGATGTCAGTAGGCTACGCGACATCGCCGCGACCACACACGCTGACCATAAGGAAGAATCCCTCTGTAGTTCGAAACTAGTAGAGCTTTTAACCCGCAATTTTTAGTTAATTTAAATAGGTTATTTTTTATTTTAAAACTAGCCTGTCATGGCTCTGCTCAGATGCTATTTCAGTGGATTTTTCCTGGTAATTATTCCATATTTTGTACATAAGGTTTTTATTATAACAATACAACAATAACTATCTAATTTCGTACAGTCGTTCTGGAGTTATGAGCATCTATGCGGAATCTGTCAAATGTATCTGTCACAGATTCATTTTTCAATTTCACTTTCATTAAAATCTTGTCCTAATAGTAGAAAATGTAATGAAATACCCAATTTGGTGCAATAATGTAGAAGTTAGACGTAGATATTTATTTTAAACTGTCAAACACCAAGCGGTCACCGGTGACCGCAACCTATTGTTCTTTAATTGTGTCTATAAATACGGTACTCGACGAGTTGAGGTCCAAGAAAAATTACGTCAAAATCTATCAAGCAGTTTAACCTTTTGACCGCCAGAGCAAAAACGCATGAACTTGCCCTCAACGCCAGGCCACAAATTCACCGCAAATACCTACGAAAAAAATAGGGATTCCAAAACTTCATCGATAATCAATTTTATTTTCATTTTCGTCTTTAATTTCGAAATATAATGTCCTTATAACATTGAAATTTAATTCAACATTACATTTCTTCCTATTAAAGTAATAGTTATACACTATTTACAGACTTGTATAATACCGTAATAACAGATATGAGACTACAATATATTTAAATATAATAACTGTAGGTACAACACTATTCTTGATCTGCTGTCTTCATATTGTGACCATGGCGTGGACGGCCCGCCATTTTAATAACTACTTCGCTTCCGAAATAAGGATGTGGCAACGTAATATCTCGTTTATCGATGTTCTAGTACAATATTATTTTATAATAAATGAAACACGTTTTTTAAATCAGATTTATAATTCCGAATGTAACAGGTACTTAAAAATATATGATTGACATAGGTTAAGAAGGTAAAAAAAACTATGAAAAAATAGAAAATTTTATTAAAATGTTATACAGTATGTACTATGTATACATGTTTTTAAATATTAAGTTCTATAAACCTGGCATAAAAAGTAACAAATTAAAACAATTAACGATTATATATAATTATCACAATTACCAATCAGTCTTATACTAATAAATCTTTTGAATAATAGAACAAAATTATACAAAATCTACAATGCAACCTGCATTCTGATCATCTAATTCGCTGGGTGCAAAGTGGGTGGTGGGGACAGTGAAATCGATCTCAGCGCGCACCGTGGCTAAAAAAGGAACTTTTGGCAGACTTTATTCCACGAAGTTCTTCCGTAGTCATTAAATTCCCACTCATTATAATAGTCACTTAATATAAATCTTGAACTCGATATCACAAGTAAATTAATCATAAATATTATTCATTCACTTCACTAATTTCTGGTCGCCGCGCTTGTGACGTCACGATATTGTCGTCTAGTCGTGACCATGGCGTACAGGGTACTGATAATTCGGGTTGCGTTAGGGATGCGCTTGAGTTGGGATTAGTGAATATCGAAACTCGACCCAACCAAATTTTATTTTTGACTATGTAGCTTATTGAATGATTTTTAAGACTGGTTTTATAAAATTAATGCTGCTTTATCCTAGTACCAAATCATACCTAAAATAATATATTCCAGAGGAAAGTTTCGAATCGATCTTTGATTTGAAATAATGATATTATCCAACATGCGCTACATCACTAGCGGTCACGCAGTTATGACTCTGGCGTGTGAGGACATTCTTTTTTCAGAGTTTATTTCTTTCTTTTTAACGTAAAATTTCTCAATATTTATAATGCAATTTAATTAGTTTTATGGAAATAACTAAATTTTGGACCTTCTATTTTACAGGTATATAAATAAATAGGCATTAAAGTAATGTTTAAATAGTTTATTTCGTGTTTTAATGTACCGCTGTTTTTGTCACATATTTGTGTCGTTGGCGCTCAGGGACAGTTTTCGCTTGTCACGTATTTCTGACCCTGGCGCTCAAAAGGTTAATAAAGATCTTATATAACCTACATAAGGTTTAGATTACGTTATTAAATCTCCATTTACCAAAAATAGGTAATCAATGAATATATATTATCAGGTATTAATAGTTTGGTTATGACTATTAATTATCAATAATTACCGGCTTACTGCCGTTTTCAAAAACCTGTGTATCTGTAGATTTGATAACTAAAGATAGAATTTTGACATATGTATTTTGTACGGAGTTTAGCAAGTTTTTCACTTCTTGAATGATATAGTATGTGTAACTAACTAATTTTCAGCCCTACAATAGCTCTAAAACCAAAACGTTTCATATCCAATGAGAAATCCAATATTTCAACAATAATGTAAATATGTATTTACTATTAATACGAAAATAAAAAACTTTTTCAATCAAATGTCTACTTTATTCTAATAGCAATAAGTTGAAAATCGCATGGCTTGAAATTAGGTCTAGTCTTCTTCTTCTATTTCTTCGCCGTAGCCCTCTCCTTCTCCCATCATCGGTGGTGGCGGGGGTGGCGGTAGGTGGGCGATGCGGAATGCCTAGAAACGTGGAAATTAAAATAAGAGTTGCATAAAAACCGCAAGGTTCAAAAAAGAATTAAAAAAAAATTGAAATTGCGGCCTCGTTGGCCGAGGTTTGAGGTTTGAGCATTAATCACCACGCTTGCTCAATGCCGGCTGGCGATTACAAACTTATAATTAGAAATTATAAGCCCAGGTTTCCTCGCGATGTTTTCTTTCACCGTTTGTCAGTGGTGTCTAGAGAATCTTAGAAAGTACATATAACTCGGAAAAAGTCACATTGGAATTTGCCGTTGGTAGGTTTCGAACCCGTACCCTCATGCATGAGAAGTATTGAGAAGCAGGCGTCTTACCCTTCCGGACCACCACGACACAACACGACAAATAGTATGTTCTATATCGTTTAAAAAGACAACACTGCTAACGTTATTGTAATCACTCAATAACCATCAACTTCTAATCTTTTTAAAATAGTCAAAAGTCAGACCTCTTCATCAGCAAACGTGGGGTCAGCCATCTCCATAATTTCTGGTCCGATCGGGTACTCCACCTGCGGTACGGGGAGCTGCAGGGGGGAGAAGTTTGGGGGCTGGTACTTGAGTCCCCAACCCACATAGAGACACTCGGATTTTCTGATAAAACACAAATATTTATCATTATTATGGCTGTTCATCTATACAGATAAACAAAATCGGAGTCTGTTTGTAATATTGAAATAACCGCTTTTACTACATGCATATGAATTTCTATATATACGATTTTTTTGGGGGGAAAATCATCGAATGTCTGCTCCGGGAGGGAGTGTCAGACTCTTACTGACTAAAAACCACCCCGTTCCTTCTCCTGCACGTCGAGCCGGAGCCCCGGTTACCCGTTAGGTTCTCCGCGACCGTTAGGTTCTCCGCGACACTATATATGCGATACATATACCAAAAAACAGTTTTTACAATTTTTGTCTGTCTGGTATCCCAAGAAAGGACTGTAAAATCTCCATAAAGTGTCGGTAAGTTGATAATATTACGAAGGTTTATGGTGTATTATTAATTTTAACGGCTTCATTTAAGGCCTTTACGAATAAAAGGCCTGATTCATTATTTCTTGCTACTTTTCTACAAAGCATTAAATCCTTGCTCCTATTTTTTATTTTTTCTTTTAAAAAAACATTTTCATTTCAACCTTTCAAAACTCTACCACTCACTTGCCAGTAGTGGCATAAGCCACGGCTCCTGGCCAAAGGTTACTCCTGAGCACGACCATGGCCCTGTCAGGGCACAGGGTGCTGCTGACCCTGGCACTCCACGCCGTCAAGCCTTCGATCCTGGCGTCCTCCGACAGCGACGTGAACAGGGAGGGCCCTACCTCCGGCTCTATTGGAGGTGGAGCGTCCATATCTTCCTCCTCTAGGCCTTCGTCCTGTGAGGTAAATCATCATTTATTTCAAATGTTTTCGGGTATTTTTTAATTTTTCTAACTAATCTGTGTGCTTGTCAATGAAACACAAATGTAGCGTGCAGTCATCTATCAAACTATTAAACATGTAAACGAGCCCACGCATCACGGATGGTAAGCAACCGGCGTCGCCCATAGACACCCGGAACATCAGAGGCATTACAAGTGCGTTACCGGTGTTATGAGGATTGTTGGAGATTCGGGGATTGGGGAGATTGGGGAAAGGGGAGGGTGGTAACTGGGCCTCTGGTAACCTGACTCACACGATGAAGCACAACGCGAGCGTTGTTTCACGTCGGTTTTCTGTGAGGCCGTGATATTACTCCGGTCGAGCCGGTCCATTCGTGCCGAAGCAGTCTTAAAAAAATACATTTCTGACAGCCACTCAACAAAACCGCCATTTCATACATATCAATTTACAATCTACTGTTCTCACCATCCCCGCGTTCGGGTTCCACCACAAAGTCCTCCCCTGCTTCAGGATATGTCTCCCGTGGTGGACCCAGTACGTCAGGTTGGAGTCCATTAGGTCCTTCAACGTGTGCCCCTGGTAATATGGGTTCGGGTTGAATTCCATGTCACCTGCAACCGGAGATCGATACTTTTTTATTACTGTACAGGGTAACTTGAAGGGACGTGACGTACCTTTTTTTTAAGTTACTTATAATGATTTTCTTTTTTTAATGTTAATTATAACAGCGGTGTTTAGTTTTTTTTTCTCTTCTTTGGCAAAAAGAAGTGTTTAGTTATATAAGAGCTTAAAAAGGTTTTTTTAATTTAATATAAAGAGGCTTTTGAACATGATAACTTCATACCTGTTACGGACTAGGTACTCCTTGGCATACGGATGTTATTATTCGGTCTTTTGTCGTGTTCAATATGTTCACTGCCATAAAACAGTCCAAAATGCTGTACAGGGTGTAAACGAAGCGCTACCGAACCGATAACGCAGACAATTTTTACAGACTTCAAAAAAAGAGGAGGTTCTATGTTCGGACGATTGTTTGTTCTATTTCATTCAAATTTTAATCATTTTTGTTTTCGTGTTATTCATGCAATAATTAATTATAATAAATTACAATTAATTCCTTACTTTTTTTAAAATAAAACTCGTTTGTAACTATCATTTGTCTGCGTTATTGGGAGCGTTTCGTTTACATCCTGTAGACTATTAAAAAATGACTTCAAGTCTGCTAAGGTGCAAAAATGTTCTGAAGTCCGAAGTTAAATAAGAAATGTCATTCAAGAACACAAACCACCCCCTTCTTCCATGTCCAGGTCTTCTTCTTCCTCCCCTGACCCAAACGTGAAGAATCCTTGCGGGGAAATTGACGTGGCAGCAGCGATGCGACCAATTTGAGCGCGCAGGTACTCTTTCTCCGTACCCTCGAACGGAGGGAAGGTTATCACCTGGAATAGAGTATAATTGAAATATTAAAGCATGATGTATACCTATGACGTATAGCTATGCTTATTTGGGTAGGAATGTTGCTTTTGGACTGGTTTCTCATTAAAAAAGTGAATAAAAGTGAAGCGAAGTTATTATCAATTAACGAACACTATAGGGATGATGACAGGGTATGAAAAATTAAAAATCTAATTAGTCCATCAGTTAGGTAATGAAAAAATATTATAAACGTATTTTTTTATTTTGTCGTATAATAAAATGATAGTTAGATAAAATGAATCAAATTTAGGAGTGGGGGCTAAAACGTATGTACATAGAAGTGACGTCACGCGACATTTCAAATCAGTATATCGTCGAAAGTATTCGTTTCTGTAAGAAAATAAAAAATACATGTCTGTTTGAAAATAATCTACCAGACGGACATTAAAATAAAAACTAGGCATCTATATACATAGGATAGATCTATACTTCTTCAGAATTTCAGGGTATAAAATATAATGTATGTGTTACTTAATGACCAAATCACGAATATTGAAGCCTATAATAACCCTGGACTAATGAGGCATTCAATCATTGAATAATATCTTATAATAGTTCTACACTTCGATATTATCAAGGATAGGTTTCTGTACCTCAGAATCTAAATCTCCAGTCATACAGCGCACGGAGAGCCTGGCGACGCGGACGTGTTCTGGTTTGATATCTGGCAGACAGATCCATGGCTCGCCTGGACGGTTGCAAACCCAATACACCTGCAAGGCTTACTATCACATAGTCTTCGGGTAGTTAATGGGTATTATCTACGATTAAGTAGAGGACGTACACCATTTTGCTAATGGAATGTGCCAGGAACAATAATGAAAGGGAATCATTAATCAGAAAATATAAGTTGAATAAATTGATGTTGGGATAGTTCAAAACATTTAAGCAAATCCTAAAACGAAGATTGCAAAGGGATTGTGTGAACTGGTGAGAGTGACATAACTTTTCTTTTATTTATGTCATGCCTTGTTAATGATTCCCTTTCATTTACAGAGTATATTTAATTAGATAAGGTACGATGGGGTTGACGTATCCATATGGACAAAAACCCCCACCATAATAAAATTAAGGAGAATAAAAAAAATCTACGCTTAGCTAGAAAATGTCAACTGAACAAAGGCCTGTTATGCCGTGGTCGCAACTCGCAATGGGTAAGTCGTCAGGCATTTTGTAGGTCGCTTAACTACGTATCGGTTCCTGTCGATCTGGTAGTCATTGGGGAAAGACTATGTTCAGCAGTTAACGTTTTATGACTGACAAGGATGAAGGATGAAGTAGGTACAGAGACTTCTTCGAGGCAACTGCTTTAAAAAAGGTTTTAATAAAACCGAAAATTAATTAATAGATTCAATCCACAACACTTTCAAGTTCCAAAATATGTGGATTAAGATCGATTTTTGACAGAAACTCCGTACAACTACTGTCAATAGTCGATCTATATCGACAGATTTTGGATTAAGATAGTTTATTGAAATTGGCAGTAAAAGAATTACACCAAACCTTCTTATTGATTCCCTGGCCGGGTCGTTCGACAGGTATGGGAGCAGGCGCCTGCCACGTGGAGACTGGCTCTGGAGGGATTTTGGGAGGCACTGGTTCCTTGGAAACTGGCTCTTTCGCCTCCCCCTCACCAACTGGAGAGGAATTAAAATGCCGTTTTGTGACCTGCATACTACTTATCGAAGATTTGTCCTTTTTTTATTTATATCTTGTTTTATTAATTTTTAATTATTGTGTTTGTATTCTATTGTCACTGTTTTGTTATATGTTGTCGTTTCTTTGTGTTTTTTCTATATCTGTATAAATAAGTGTATTTATTTGTTCTTTTCTTTTTTAATTTTGTATTTTTGTATCTGTGTGCGTGCCTACTGTTGAATAAATGATTTTTCTTTCTTTCTTTCTTTCTTTCTTTTCACTGCTTATATGAACTTATCTGCGTTGGTACTACACATGACTTCTCCAATTGTATCAGGTTGCCCTCCTATCAAGCAACGATGATGATTTTATTATGACCAGAATAATTGTGACGGACAATATGTAGATTGAGAGAAACGAGATTTAAAGAGTTGTCTCTACAATCCCTACGACCGATACAGATTTGCTTAGAATCGATATCCAAGGTAGTCTAGATTTGTATTTTCTATGTCATAATACCTACTAGGTAAAAAACCGCTTAGAAAAAATGGGTAAATGGTAAACTGAAACTGAAGGTAAGCCTTTTTTTTTTTAAGGGGGGAAAATCATCGAATGACTGCTCCCGCCTGGGTGAGACGGGAGGGAGTGTCAGACTGTTACTGACTAAAAACCACCCCGTTCCTTCTCCTGCACGTCGAGCCGGAGCCCCGGTTACCCGTTAGGTTGTAAGCCTAAAGATTATCCAGCATCCACAGTTCTTGTTAGATAAATTATTGTTGGTTATCTTACGTATTTCTGCCTGTTCCTCTATAGCGTGGACTCTGGCCTCGTCCATACCTTCGCCTTCTCCAGGCATATCCTTCATCTCGAAGGCCTGAAATTTAAATGAAACATAACATAACATCACGCCTTTTTATCCCCAAAGGGGTAGGCAGAGGTGCACACAGAAGTAACACCCACTTTTTAACCGACTTCAAAAAAGGAGGAGGTTATACGTTCGGCCGGTATGTTGCTTTTTTTTTTTTTGTATGTATGTACGCGCATAACTCTGAGATGCGTGAAGCGATTTGCAAAATTTTTATTTTGTTGGAAAGGGTATACTACCAAGATGGTCCCATTTCCATGAGGTCAGGATCTGATGATGGGATCCTAGGGAAACCGAGGGGAACTTTCGAAAATTATATGGGCGAGTGATGCGTCTATTATGTTTTTCAATTAGGATTTTTAAACACTACAATTTGATAAGGGTCTGGAGTCGACCTGATGATGGAGCCGATAGACAGTCGAGGGAACTCCTCAGCGGTTTATACTAACTACCTTGTGTTTGGGCTTGATTAATTTGTATTGATGAGGACTTTAGACCTAGATAGAGTAGGGCTGTCATTAAGGGTCTGATGATGAAGAAGTGTAATTGTTAAGGGAACTCCTCAACGGTATACTGTAACTACCTTGTGTTTAGGCTTGTATAATTTGTATTAATTAGAACTTTGCACCTATGTAGGTTATAAGTAACAAAACGGGTATATGTAGCTTTACACTGAAAATGATAAAATAATAAAATAAAAACTGCGTTTAAAAAACCGACTTCAAAAAACCAAAAACTAATAACAAACAAAAAGTCTAAACTAAAAAGCAAAAAATAACTATTATTAGTACTGATAGGTTACTCACCCACTGATAGGTTAGAAGTCGGTGCCATAAGCTCATATCATAATGATATAACTGTCCACAAAATTGTGAAATAGGTACCTATTAAGGTTTTAATGAATAATTTTGTATGGAACTTATGGCACCGACTTCTAACCTATCAGTGGGTGAGTAACCTATCAGTACTAATAATAGTTATTTTTTGCTTTTTAGTTTAGACTTTTTGTTTGTTATTAGTTTTTGGTTTTTTGAAGTCGGTTTTTTAAACGCAGTTTTTTCACTATTTATGTTATGAGTCCCACGTAATAGGGGGTGAGCCTATTGCCATATACCGGGCACAATTCCAGACTCCGTGCTACTACTGAGCCTTTTTTTAAAAACCCAGTAATACTTTGCCCGACCCGGGAATCGAACCCGAGACCCCTTGCCCGGCAGTCGCACTTGCGACCACTCGGTCAACGAGGCAGTCTCTCTAGTTCTTAAATGAAACTGTTTTCATTTTAAACAGTTCAATTCGAATTAACACTATAACCGCCGCGTAGGTCACCGGTGACCTACATTAGCAGAGGATTTACCTTCAACAGTTTAGTGCCGGCAGTCAAAGGCTTAACAAAAAATACGCGTGAAGTCAGCAGTAATAGTAGTAGTTAGATACGTACAGGTCGTACCTAACTGTAGCACTATTTGTTAGTTAAATTAGTTTTTTGACGTATTTTTCCAAGAGTGAATGAACATTTGATTAATTCTCGGATGAATAATATGAAAATACCTATGCGACGAATAGTAAAATCAATATTTATAATTATACGAATTTAGGTATACAACAAGAATACGCTGTGGTATATTAACCTTTAGATTAAAAGACATAAAGATAGGCAATTATTATACCTATATAATTCGAATAATGTTTTGAGACATCTTTAATACGACAATATCATAGTATAAAGAAAAGGGAAGTAGGCCATCTTCTTCCCAATCCGCGATATAATTACCTACTGTCTTAGGGTTGTCACTTTTAGTTAAATATTAGGCGCAGCTTACATACCAAGTTGGTTTACCTACCTTTAGTTAACTATATAAATCGATAGACCATAGTCAATTACTTATTTTGCATAACGATTTTATAATTGTAAGTAGATAAGTACCTACTTAGTAACTATACCTACCTACAATACTGAGAAATCGACATAACCATAACTAAACGTAAACAAAACAATAGCGGAAAATCAATTGTCAGATCAAAAGTACCTACTTAATACATTAGTAGGAAATTGGGCCTAGGTACCTACTTCCTATGTGATACTGATAGAAAACTAACACAAACAAAAAATAAGTAAGTAGGTATCTCATCATCAAGTACAAATTATATTATGCTAGAATAAGTGTCTAGCTTATCTTTCCTGTTCAATAGGTAATCTGAACAGAGACAGTTCTGAGAATCGATAAATTATTAAGACACCCAAACACATAGCAATACCTACGTTCTTCTACGATTATCAGACATTTTTTATACATTTAACAGTGCCGAAAAGTGATGCGCGCGCGAACCTCGTGCAGTGTTAGCCCTGCCTGGCCCGAGCGTACGGCGCGTCGCGTTCCGCGCGCGCCTCAAAGAGCCATCAGACCACCACAGATGGGGCCCAATAGGGCCGATGCCGATTCGGAGTCGCGGAGAACTTAACGGGTAACCGGGGCTCCGGCTCGATGCGCAAGAGAAGGAACGGGGTGGTTTTTAGTCAGTAAGAGTCTGACACTCCCTTCCGCCTCACCCAGGCGAGAGTAGTCATTCGATGATTTCCCCCCCTTAAAAAAAAAAAAAAAAAAAAAACGGGTCGAGATTTTATTAAAGTGTGCGTGCGTCGACGCATAGATACTGTGTGCGGTGCATTTGTATGAAGATAACCTACTTCCCTTTTCTTTAAACTATGACAATATGTATAGGCCTTATGCAAGCCCCTAGCAAAAGCACCTTCTGTTAATTAGAATCTGTATAAATTAAAATGAATTTCCGTTCGTTAACCTCGTTAAAACTCGAGAACGGGTGGACCGAGTTGGATAATTTTGGTCTTGACGTCCAGGAAAGGTTTAACCGCTTGAATGCAGCGATATGAGACACAATAGAAAATACATCGTGTCCCGCTTGGATTTGTTGTTGATGATGTTTAGACACACGACGGGTTAAAAGGTGAAGAAAATCAGTCAACTAGTTAAAAATAATAACGTGAAACTAGGTACATTATTACGTAGGTACTATTATTTATTTATATAATCACAACAGTGTACAGATATTAAGTTTAAAACTTATTCCCACTAGGACTACTTGAGGTATATTGCACATACCCTGATTCTTCTATCCAATTCTTCTAGAGTTAGGTCCGTTTCCATTACGTAGTAGTTCGCTTTAGTGCCAAAAATTTTACCGAAGAACCTGTGAGAGCATTAATTTGGTGCAACGACTGGTGATCCAGGTAGGTAATATAGAAATGTGTAGTTATCTTTAAAGAATAGACTGCTAGGTATATAAAGGACTTAGAACACAATAAAAATACATTTCCTGAATCCCCAAGAATCCTCAAATTCCTAATCCCCTAAAGGCCGGTAACGCACTTGTAAGGCGTCAGGTGTTCCAGTTGTCCATGGGCGACGCCGATTGCTTACCATCAGGTGATCCATCTGCTCGTTTACTGGCTTATCTCTTAAAATATAGTGTCTAATTTATATTTGCGATCCGGCAGATCAGGGGTAATTAGGTCGTCGGAAGTAAATTTTATACGGAAATAGATCTTTTTTTCGTCTTAGATATTACTATTAATAGTGTGTATTACGTTTGTTACCTGATAGTGGAAACAGGCTCTTTGATACCCAACATGATCATAGATATGTAGATCGCGTAACATTCGCTGGCTGGCAAACCGTACCCGGCCTACAATAAATTCAAATTCGTATTTTGAATGGTAACTAGAATACGTAAAGCTTGGCAAAAAGAGTATGACGCGGTGACAGCTGACTTGGACTGAATTACCCACCATACCCATGAATACCATATCCCATGAATCAACAATCATCCGAACATAGTACCTCGTCTTACAATTGACTCCTTTCGTGGGCGATGTCAGTACATCGTCAGTCCAAAAACGTAGGCGCGCAGGATTTTTAGACTGACCAAGACGCGAGGGCGCGAGATAGTACAAGTATACCTCTGTATAAACTCGATAAAAATAACAATTCATATCGAACCCGGTTGAATCGTAGTGTACTATCAGGTTACCACCAACAAGTACGATACTAGCGACCTCAATTTTATTATTCCAAACTCCTTTTTGCCAAGTTACAGCTAGGAAGAAGAGTAAAGAGAAGAATACAACCTGTCTAAAATAGTAGTTATGATCAACAAGGTCCTGTATCTTCGGCTTGTAGTGGTCTTCCTCCAGATCGAGCTCCTGTTCCTCTTCTCCTCCGTCGTCTAACTTTGTTGCTTTGCTTGCTACCAGCTGTTAATAAACTCAAACAAGTAGTACAGAGGTTTATATATTATACTATAGGATAGAATTACTAGGTAAAATAATAACAATCGGAATTTTATTCTACTGGCATTCTACTGCCGAGCGTAACTGTACGGTGGCAACTGGCAAGTCTTCCGCTGGTGCCATGAGCCCCGAGGTGGAAGGAGGTTTGTTCAGAGGTTCTCATCTGAACTTCTCTCTTTATTATAGGAAAAAGAGTGTCCATTTGATGAAGTTTTGCCACGGGTTTCGAACGGTATAGTTAGTTATGTCAAAACGAACGACGAACTAAACGTCTGGCTACTGAGCTCCCCAACGAGCTATCAAGGATTCATAAAATGGAAAATTCCGCTACTGATTTCTCAGTGATTACTCGTATCATCTTTCATCTTACCCGGAACATTTCATCCACCTGCGTCACGGAGGCGAGTTGTGGAGGAGACAAGTAAATGTCATTGAGCAAATCAAAGTTTGGCCGAAACTTCTCTTGCTTCACTTCCCAAGAATACTGTTCGAAGTTATCCACCACATCTGGTGGACTTTGGGACAGTATTTTTTGTACCACGTCCACTAAATGGTCGTATCTGGAAGGCAAGTGCTTGCTTTCCAAAAATGTATATCATTTGTACGCTGTTCTAAATGAAACTGCCACGAAATCAGCAACTATACGTAGTACATTGATAATAGTACTACATAAAACTACATAATTTGAGAGCAAGTCTAATCAAGAGAAAATCGAATCAAATAAATAGAATGTAGTCTCTCGCTAGCCATTTATAATGAAGTTTATCTGGTGATCCCACTGTCGGTTACTCTCAAGCCTAAAAACTTTTCGTTAACAGCTAAAACTTACAAAGAGTCACCAGTGGCTGCACTTTGTTGTTTCAAAAAATTCTTTGCCAGCACCAGATCATTGTTGAGATCTGGCATAACATTTTCCGTTGCTGCTATTATGTCCGGCTCTAATAAAAATGTTTGCGACATCTTTAGGCCTTGTTTTCATGTAAATTATTAATATATTACGAAAATATACAAAAATAATGTCAGTGATGACTTGTTATTTGACGCCTTTTTTGGTTGACGCTAGATTTGTAGATAAAATAAAAAGTAAATGATTGTAGCCATAGCTTTTTAACAGCCAGTAAAATAAAGAAAATCAAGAGAAAGTGAAGTGAAAGTGAACTTTCATAGATATTTAAAGCAAGTATGCAGAAAGTTGTTTTATTTTATTGAAGAAATTTTATTTATACCGGCCTATTTGGAAGTCATTGACGGAGGCTTATGTTCAGCGGTGGACATCCTATGGCTGATATGATGATGAATGATGATTGCTAAATCGAATCTATTTTAATTTCTGATCGCTATTTTAAACGTCTATCCGTCTAACGCCAATGTCACTGTCAGACTGTCACAGACAACCATGGTTATTTTTGGCAAAAATGTCAAACGAAATTGTACTTTTCCATTCGAAAATACGCGAATAGTTTAAAATGAACTTATTTTTGTGATTTATCGAACAAAGAATCCATAAAGTGTTCATTTCAATTACTATTTCTATATAAACCTATTCAGTTTTGTTAAAGTTTCATACTTCAATCGAAAACATAACCTCAAAATCTCTGTAACAAAAATAAACAAACTTCGAAATGGCTACAAAATTCGATGTAGCTGCGTATAATTTCCGAAAGAAATGTCCGTTTGTAGCCAAGGATCTTCTCCGCTGGTTTCCCGGTCACATGAACAAAGGTTTGAAGCAAATGCAACGTAAATTGAAGAGCGTTGACTGTGTAATCGAAGTCCATGACGCAAGAATTCCATTTACGGGTCGCAATCCTATATTTACCAACACGTTAATAGGAGCTAAACCTCACATACTAGTACTAAATAAGAAAGATTTAACAGTTCCTTCGTTAATACCGAAGATAGTGGATAAATTAAAGGCTGAACAGAATGTGCAGAATATAATGTTTACGAATAGTAAGGACCAGCATTGCAAAGGATTGAAGAAGTTAAAACCTCTGATGGTTGACTTGATAAAGTCGTCAAACAGGTATAATAGGAGTGAGGAACTAGACTACAATGTGATGATCATGGGTGTGCCAAATGTGGGGAAGTCTTCTTTGATAAATATGCTGAGATCAAAGAACATGAGTATCAGACATGCTCTGCCCGTGGGCGCTGTGGCGGGCGTCACGAGGAGTGTCATGACCAAGATCAGAATAAACAATGATCCTGTTATATTCATGTTGGATACTCCAGGTGAGGATTTTGAAGTTTTAATTTACTGGTCGACTGTTTTTCTAAATTATTTTATTAACTATTTAAGATGTCTATGCTCACATTCATTTATTGAACAGTCTAGTAGGGATTGTGTATTAAATGTGAGTGCTACATTCTGCTATTTAAACTGTCAAACACCAAGCGGTCACCGGTGACCGCAACCTATTGTTCTTTAATTGTGTCTTTAAATACGGTACTCAACGAGTTAATTTGTGAACTAGTCCAAAATATATCTTAAAGATATGCAATAGTAAACATAATATGCTTTTAATCTAACATCATTAAAAAATAAGAACAATAATAATGGTTCCAAAAAACAAATGAATCTCAAGCGATCTGTGGCTGACCATAAAAATGGATCCGAAATAACAAAACTAAACTTCCGAATAGAATATTGAACCTCTAACAAAATTACTAAGTTACCGACAACTGACAACCGGTTAGGTTAGTATTGTAGCAATAAACAGTCATGTAAAGTAGTCGGAAAGTTAGTATTTTAGGCAGTAGATTTAATATTTTCAGTAAGGACAATTCTTTTCTTGTTGGAGCTTTTATTACTAGCCAAAAATAACTAGTAACAAACACATGAATAAATCAAGTCTAACTAACAAATGGCCTTTTTACCAGGTATCCTAGAACCATCAGTAACAGACGTAGAAATGGGTCTGAAGCTGGCTCTCTGTGCATCTCTGCAAGATCACCTGGTAGGTGAAGAGATCATTGCCGATTACCTGCTGTACTGGCTGAACAGCCACGGACAGTTCCAGTATGTGGACTACATGGGACTAGAGGAGCCTTCTGATGATATTAATAAGGTCAGTTTTTAGATCTTGTAATTAAAATTTCATGGTCTGTGCATACAATATAATCAATCAATAAAGGTACGAAAAAGGTTTATTACTACTTAGGATATGGAACTCGGTTTCAAAACAGTTTATTATTTGAGCTGTTTTTTACTTGCCTCACTGACTTATTTGTAATGTCATAATACTTACGAAAATTAATTTCTTCCCATTCCAGGTGTTGATCTCAGGTGCAATAAAATACAATAGAATCCGTAGGACACGGGACTTTGACGGTCGAGTCCGAGATGTGCCAGACCTGCTAGAAGTTTCACGGACTATGATCAAAGCATTCCGGACAGGGGAGCTTGGCAAGATCCTGCTAGACATAGACCTACTTAATGAAAGACAAGTTCGACTAGATAGAACATTAGCGTGACCTAAATGTTCAAGGTATACAATGCTAAAAGTCATTGTTTTTATTGTATGATTATGTTGCCTTACGCTACGGACTCTAGTCGCGATTTTCACCCGCACCTTCCGTGGTACCCGAGCGTACGGCGAGTCGCGTTCCGCACGCGCCTTAAAGACCAATCAGACCACCACAGATGGGGCCCAATAGGGCTGTTGCCGATTCGGAGTCGCGGAGAACCTAACGGGTAACCGGGGCTCCGGCTCGACGTGCAGGTGGCAGTGCAAGCAAAAATCTCCGTGGTCTGTCGCGGTTGAGATGATTGCTCGCAAACTTGGCGGTTGATTATCGATCCACGGACGGTTACACAATCAGTTGAATTCCAGACCGGCTCTCCCATAGCGATTGCTCGCCAATCGATCGGCGGCCATGGCCGCTGGTGCAGCGAGACCCGCAATCACTCGCACACGTCGCGAGCGTAAAACGCGTCGTGAAATGTGCTTTAATTTTTTACAAACATTTCTGTATCCTACAAAGGCGGGAGAAAATTGCTTCGTTAGTTCTTAGCCTCAGAAATGTCTAGCCTACGTAGTTATTATTATGAATGCCAAATTTGACCCTTATTTTAAGTCTTGTCTTCAATGTCCCGCCCGGGTGAGGCGAGAGGGAGTGTCAGACTCTTACTGACTAAAAACCACCCCGTTCCTACTCCTGCACTTCGAGCCGGAGCCCCGGTAACCCGTTAAGTCTTCCGCGGGTCCGATACTACTAGTTGTGATTTTGTGTATCATCCCTATTCCATTTCGTAGGAATAAGCAACCAAAATACAGTCAAATCCGTATTTTTATTTTGGCTGTTTTCACCAAAACTTCATCTAATATACAGTGCTAATGACTTCTAAAAAATATATAATTTACCGCTGTATGCTATGTCAATGAACTATGTAAATAATTGTATAGTTAGTTATAGTGCATAGGTTGTAAGATAGATAGTATCAAATACATATAATAATTCTTGAAATTGATTGTTTTTTTTTCTAATATATTTTGTTAATTCTTAGCATAAAGAATGTAATTCCACCTGAATTTAATAACATCATATTATTATCTACCTACACTTGTAATAGTAGGTGTAGGGACCCATGTTATTAGAAAGAAGAAGAAAGAAAAAACATTTATTCAGCGCCAGGCACGATGCAGCATAAATAAAATATAAAAAAAGACAATAAAGTGTTGTGTATTACATGCTAGTGTAAACCCTGTCCCTTTGGGTAGTAATAAACTTGATAGTTTTGTCTACTAGGTACATATTATACAACAGTCCAAATCTGTAAATGAACATGACCTATGGACCCTAACATTCGACCTTCATTCATAGAACTGCTTGATTTTATATTCAAAGAGTTGACGTCACTGTCAAATTGACACAGATAATAAAAATTTTGATAAAAATATGAAGTAAAAATTAAACTGGGACAATTAAAACAATATTTAATAAAAAAATTATAAATCAAAATATCTTCAATAATTGTCATAAAATTGTACTTGGAAGTGTTGAAAATAATGAAAAGTTTGTATAATTCGTGGGCAGGGTGAGCAAGTCTCATCCACATAAATATGGACCCCTTGGAGTACATAGAAACCTTCGTGAGTTCTATACAGGAGTACAGATGGCTCATAGACGTCGCCAACGACTGCTACCCGATCGCTATAATGTCTAAAATACATACAGCTTGAAGACAATGATATCCGAACAAGGTAGTCAAAGAATTAGAAAAAATACTGCCTCCAATGAGAGCAAAGGCAGGTTCTCGAGAACATCGCAATACGTGTTGGAGAAGAGATCTGACAGTGTAGTTTACAGTAAACTGTCTTCAGATACGTTTTCGTCGACTGTCGAAGCGACCAGATCCGACATTGATGGTGCAACCAGCAACACCCTGAGCATGGTAAGCACGCCCTGGACTACAGAGAGTTCATATTCAGATCTATTTATATCACGATCTACGAAGTTGTCCAAGTCGTCACGTGTATCATGGACTAAAGAGTTCACTTCCAGCTTTATCGCAAAAACTAGCACGACCATCGCGAGCGACTGGCGGACGGCCACTGAGGGATCCTTCAGTAAGACTACCCTCCCTGTCCCTATGTATAGTTTTGCACCGACACGGCAAGGCCGCCGGTGGAAGGTGTCTCCAGAGAGCTCGTGTAGCACAGACAGCTCCTGGACGCTGAAGACGTTAAGCAGTATGAGTCAGTATTCTCCACTGTACAACCAGCCATTCATCAGGGTGAAGTACCCGTGGAGTCCCGACACGCTGTGCAGCGACCCGGACGACTACCCAAGCAGCCTGGATACCCTCGCCTCTAGGAAGGGAAGCCGCGTCGACATGACGACATCTATCACAGAAGAAATATTCTACCCAATGAACTACATCAACTTGACGCATAATTTCGACGAATGCCAAGTTATAGACTGGACGCGAACGAAAGAAAACGGTTTCCCGATGTACTCCACAGCCAATTTAATAGACACCAGGGTTTAAAAAAAATTGCAAAAACGATTAAAAAATTTATTACCAACAAAATATTTGTTTTACATTAGTTTCCTTAAAATGAGGTATTAGTTGCATTTATTGTTTATAACAATACCTAATGCAGCACAATATCTGCATTCTACTCTCTGATCACATCGACATTGTAATGGACCCGAACAATTTAAATGCAAATATACTGATAAAGAAATTATACTTTAAATTAATGTTTTGTACCGGACAATGAACTGACTATAAAACTAATGGAACTAGCATACTGTATGCCACTATACAAAAGAAAAAAAATCAAAATGTATGAATGTAATTATGCTAAATGTATGTGAAATCTCTGTTATTTTGTTTGGAATTGAATGGAACATACAAACATTACATTTGAATTGCGACCATAATTAAATATGCTATGAATGCACCAATTTCGGAAATCCATTTTACCTTATTATTTTATAATATAAATAAACATATTAAACACGTGACACAGGGATCATGAATATACATTTTTCAAATGTCGTCACCCAACACATGTTACGAAATTAATTAATGGAGACCTGTATAAGAGGTACAACAATGTATTGTTAACATTCTTGTAAAGTTCGTTTAAAAAGTAATTTGCATATTTTTAATTATTTCTTTTTTAATTAATACTGGACTAAGAAGTCTAGGGAAGTTGATTAAAGTTGAATTCTCAGTGATAGTTCATATAGTGATATTTCGTTTTAATTTTTATAAATACATATCTTTGTTATCTATTAATTCGTGATATTAGGAAATTCTTTTATCGCCAAATAATGCTACTAAGCTAAAATTATGACATTCCAAAAGTGCTAATTCACGATTTAACATTTCTTTTTATATTTTTCGGTATTATATACCTATATAAACGACCTTGGGCCCATTCATTTGTGCAAAACTTCATATGGATTATAATTTACATATAAATCAGTGGCGATGATCTTTTGTGCGTTCATAAGGGCACTAATGCAGCCTATACAATTATCTAAAATTTTCAATAAATGACTGTGCAATAAATGACAACAGTCAATGGACTTAACGCGACACCAGCGCCTCTAGCGGCGCAAAAATTGGAGTTGTAAATGGCACTTATACTGTTACCTTCTTAGTCCAGTCAGCTACTTATACATATAAATAAAAGATATCTACTTATTAGCAATACCGATGACAGATTTGAAGTATTTAGGTTCAGATAGAGACTCCACGAGGAAGGTGCCCAGGTCTCTCTTGGAAATGGAGCGGCCAGGAGAACTTGTAGGGTTGATGGTCACCGTTACCTCGCGGCTCGGCTCATCTGCGAAAGACAGAAAATACCAATATAAGTTGTATTTGTATTACTAATTAAACAAAGTCAAGCTAGATTTATGCCTATAATTTTTTACACATAGTTTTCTGCCAAATGTGGTTTTGAGGTTGATGACCGACCTTTTAACTATTCTCATATTGAGTTTACTTCAATACAAAATAGAAGTTGGCAAGACAATCGGTTTGGTAATTCCGAGACGAGTTTCTTTCTTACATGACTACTTCGTCTGCATCTCACAAGTTTGTATAAAGCATTTTTTTTACACAAATCGATATTCTTAATACTTACTAAAACTTATCACCCTTTTACTCAGATTTAACAATAGCTAAATATGTCACTAAGTTCAAAATTGAATAAAAGAGCCTTACCAGCGATATGAGGAGGGAACACTGCGATCCAGTTGAGAGGGCTATCCTTCACAGCTTCATACATCCTCTTGTGATCCTCATTCAGGTCCACAAATCTTGGAGGAACCTTCTCAGGCTCGTAGAACAGAAAAGCGGACAGACAAACAGACAAAGGTTTGACATTCTTAGCTCTCATGGACTCTATGATGTTCTTCGTGCCTTCAGACATATCTGAGGTTGGTTCCAAGGAGTTTCTGGTGCCGAGGGCTACCACCACACCGTCCATGCCGTCGATGGCATCAGCCACGGAGTCTGGCTCCAAGACGTTGCCAACGAAGAGCTCTACTTTGTCCTTCAGTTCTGCTGGCATCCTCGCTTCGTCTCTGACGAAAGCGCGGACTTGGTAGCCTGCGGAAGAAAGTAGTTATTAAGTATCGGTGATTGCAATTGCAACTATAAACAGAACATGACGTCCTTTCATGAAAATTTGTTCTGTAGGGAAAGTCAAAGCATTTATTTCAATTAAACTGTCAAACACCAAGCGGTCACCGGTGACCGCGACCTATTGTTCTTTAATTGTGTCTATAAAACCGGTACTCCACGAGTTAAACCATAATTTGGTACTTTAGAAACGTCAACAAATATAAAATTCAGTCCGTCAGTGAAGCAATGTGAAGCTAGGTGCTCATTCCAAAATGTAGTTTCAAATGGAGGAGAACGAGCAAGAAACTCCATAATTAATGATAGGTAAAGGTAATTTTACATTTCTAAATAAAAAAAACAACTACATCTTAGACACTTTATCAGTTTAATAGTAGCATTTATAAAATAAATAATACGTAACGTAATGGCACCAATGATCGACAGTTTTAGAAGGTGGTGTGTTTGTTTCTTAGATTACGAGTATTTTATTATGTTTTAAAATAAAAGTGACGTTGTATACGATAAAATATGTCCTTGAGATATGAATAGGCTATATTTTCATTTTTAAATATGATGTGGACTAGTATTAAAACCAAAAATAATAAATATTAATAAAATCCCCGATATTCGACACTAGAACTCCAATAATCGACACCCAGTTATCGACAATTACCAGTTATCGTCACCCAGTTATCGACTATTACCCGCAATGAGACAGTAGACTGATTTGATACATTAGTTAGACCGTAATCAAAAGGAACAATTCAGTAAGTATTAATTTATTTGTCTTTTATGTTTAGGTACTCATACATTGTTTTTATAAAATATGTCAAGTCTAATAACACTGACTACAAACTTTAAAAATCTTCACCAAAATAAGCTTTAATCTTGAATACTGTTTTATTTTGATAAAACTATACACTCTGATAAGATTAAATAAGTACAAATTAGGGAAATCAACAATAGTTACATATTTATTAAAAAAATACTCTTACTAAACTAATTATATATTTTTTTATATTTCTAATCACTCTTTTGGTAATTAATAATTATAAAATACTTATTTAGAAACAGAAACAATCCTTTGGAATGAGATAACTACTTAACAACTAATAGTTAATAATCTAATAGTTAATGTAGGGTGAGATGGGATTTGTGGCCATCCACAAAGAATAAAATCGGTTTTTCAATATTATTTTGCTCTAACCAAGGGTTGAAAACATTAGTCACATATTCATAGAAGGTGCTGCTGCACATCCACCCACTTTCTGACTTACCTATTGCCCATTCATCGGGAACACTAGCAGCAACTGACGAAGGAATTCGTTCATAACTAAATACGATCATTGGAGGGGCAAGGTCTCCGGCTGCATTTCCCGTGATAAGGACAGTAAGGTTGTCCTTCTCATCACCACACTTACTATAAGGGTGTTTATCTCCTTTTTTGCAGATAACACGATCAGGTTTCGGCGACAAGAAAAACGCGCTTTCGTCTGCATTGAATAGCCTGTGTGGGTTGTTTAGAATATTTTTTAAGTTATGTTCTTCTAAATAACTTTCGATTTCTTTAAACCAGGTCCTAATGTTATCCTCCGATACATTATCTCGAGCTCTCGACAAGTTATCTGGTACTCTTTGTGACAAGTTTGGATGTCTTTTCATGAATGAGTGAAACCATTTCTTACCAGGCCTATTATTAGTAAAAGGATTTTTCCTGTTTTGATTAATTATTAGTTTTTGAACACTGTCCAGTAGACAGTCTTTAGTTAGGGGAATATGCTTTTCAGCTAAAGTTAATAACCATTTTTCTAAAATTTCTTCTTCTACTTTTGTTAAGATGGTACTTGGCCCCATACTACAACCAATGGAAGTTCTTCGTGTTATTTTGTCATGAAGAGTAATTCTTGGTACTCCGAAACGTTGCGCAGCACTTGCTATCTTTTCTCCATTCTTAACAGCTTCAACTGCTTTTTCAATCTGGTCGAGAGTGTAGTTTTTTCTCGGAGCCATCTGTAAGAATCAATTACCTATTACTGGTAACTTAAATATCTACCAATTCGGCAAAGAAAAGATGACCGTCGGTCACCGTATTCTCTTGTCAAATGTAACAAATAATTAATGGAATTGCAATGTGTCGAAATGGATAAGTATTTACCTAGTATTCATGACCTTTGACTTAAATTCAATATAAGTACTTAAGTCATAAAAAATTAAGCAATTATTTTAAATTCAAATCCAAAAATAATTTATTTCACAGTTAAACAAATTTTATTTTTATAACAGAAAGAATTATTATCAGTGTAATATATTTAATGTAAATATAAAATACATAAATTTAGTTTATAAAATGTATGTTCCTTATTAAATGTAGTTTTTTTCTTGGAGACATCTGTATGAACCAATTATCGACACATTTCAATCCCATTAATCGACATCGTGTCGAATACTGGTAACTCTACTTTAATAAACCTAATTTAAATATCTAACAATTCTGCAAAGAAAAGAGAACCATATTCCGTGGTTACACAAAATAATTTTAATAAAATTATTATCGACACTCGTCGATGATTGGAGCAAGTCAATTTCTGAGGACCAGTAATCGACACGGGCAATTTAGGTTAAAACAATAACCTCCTAACTTTTTTTATAACATAAATCGATCTTATCATTCCCATAATACGGCTTAAAAACCATCAAATTAATATAAGTTTCAATATATGAAAATAATGAACATATTTTGTACTTACGTTCTTACAGAATCCGCTTAGAAATGCCGTTATTTTATGAGGAACACTAGCCGAACTAAGTTCTCACACGGCCATTTGTAAAAAAAATGGCGGATTTCTTTCAAATGTCACTGGATGACAGCAGGAAGCGTATTGTCTGAGCCACAGTATAGCAATATTAAAAAATCGTATTATAACTCTTATTTTCTCTAATTAGAGAAAAAAATTGTCGATCATTGGAGCTTGTCGATCATTAGTGCCACTACGTTACCTACATAAGTATGTATAACATATAATAACATATATTAATATAAGTATATACTATACATGTAACATACGAAGGTATAGGTACCTATGTTATTATTGGAAAGAACGAGTGACCACTGTTTCCTGATATTAATTTATGCTTATTCAACTTAACCTAGCATAAATACACAAGTATTGTTATATGAATAGCCCACTATAGGTAGACAGATAATAAAATATGCATATTAATGTAACTACAATGTAATAATCGAATCAAAATCGACGATTCATGACGTTGTGACGTTTTAGCCTTTATCTGTATTTATCTAAATGTTAGGTTCTACTTAGTATTAGATAAGTAAGTCCTAGAAGCGAGCTCAGTGGCGTGCCATAGGAGAGGCCTATGTCCAGCAGTGGACGAATACAGGCTGATGATGATGAAGTCCTAGAAGGCCACTCTAACCTGCATTTTTTTCATTGGATTTTCGACTATAGACAAAACTGCCACAATGTAACACCCACTTCTCACTATTTATATTTCATAATATAAATATAAATTTATATTTCATAATATAAATATAAATTTATATTTCATAATATAAATAGTGAGAAGTGGGTGTATATGTATATGACAATAGGCTCACTCCCTTACATGGGACTCATGTCCCATGTAAGGGAGTGAGGCTATTGTCATATACCGGATTGTCGCGGAGAACCTAACGGGTAACCGGGGCTCCGGCTCGACGTGCAGGAGAAGGAACGGGGTGGTTTTTAGTCAGTAAGTGTCTGACACTCCCTCCCGCCTCACCCAGGCGGGAGCAGACATTCGATGATTTTCCCCCCTTTAGAAAAAAATGTCATATACCGGACACAATTCCCGACTTCGTGCTACTACTGACAATTATTTAAAAACAACCAATAATACTTTGCCCGACAACTTTAACTACCTCGTTGGCCGAGTTGTCGCAAGCTTTTACACATTATTAATGTCAAATTATTTATTCCGATAAAATTGGAAAGCCAACTACATTTTTTTATTAGTAATGAGTCCGGCGTCTGGCGGTGATGCGATGATGTAGTCTACGATAAGGCACGCCTGCCCAGTGCCCATGAGTAACTTATTCACTCGAGCCGTGAGAACTTTCGGTTTCTACCATTCCTTTGAAGAAGAATCGAATAAGAAACTCCTTAATTTGCTAAACTTTTTAAAAGTTTAGAACTTAGGACCTGTGACTTATCTCTCAAAGTGGCTTTTCTATACCGGTCACTGAACAAGGCTACAAGGCAGCATAACGTACAAATTGCCTACTTTATTGAGCAAACGATTGAGCCGGTACCCCTAACCGGATGCTGCGTTGTATTTCCTGTTTCATGCCCTGCGTATACGCACGTGCGCAATGGTTGAAAGGTGTTTATTTGAATTTCTTCAATATTAATTATTTTGACTAGGTATTTCAGAAGTAGCAGTGTAGTTATTTTCACACTGGTGATAAGTGGTTACGATGGTACAGGCCGTACAGGTGTGCTGCAACCAGTCACCACAAAGACGGCCAGCAGCATTTCCTAACTTTCAGTGACCTTACAAAAATTGTCTCCACCGCCAGCGCCTGACAAAAATTGAGAATGGGAGGGTCCATTGGCAGATTTTTGTAAAACAGTGGACGGTTTGCTGCTGCTGAAGATGAGGATTATACCTATAAAACCACGAAAAATTGATTGTATGAAAAATTTATCATCCAAAAGTAGTCTGTAAACATCGGAAATAAGGTCCATAATGGAGTCAGTGGGCAGAGGACACCGGTGTCCGCTCGAGAACTTATTTTGAAATGTATTTTTTCTTAATTTTTATCGAATTCTCTGTTGACTGCACCTGTATGTCACATCTTTGAGGATTACGGATATGTGTGACGTCACTTCATTGCAATCTAGGTACTAGCTTTGCAAAAGTCGGCCATAATGCATGCGAACCAGAGATTATTGCGTGCGAGTGTGAGTTCTTCTTTAAGATAATAAAGGTGAGCCTGAGCCACAGCACAGTTTTATCTCTTAGATATCGATATGATATTTTTTATCGAATTTATCAGTATGATACCTCAGTTAAAGATAACTAATCCAATATGTCAGGTTAAACTCTTTTTTCAAATATGAATACTTTCATAGTATATTGTCACAACCTTTATCCAAAGCAGCTATCTTTTTATATAAAATAGTAAATAAGAGTAGTATTGAAAGTTTTGTTAAATCTGTTTAGGGAATGATGGGTCTGCCACGGTCTTTATGTGATCAAAAGACTAAATTAATAAAGATAAATAATGATACAAAACTGCGATAAATATAGAAGAGAATCGAGAGTGGGTACAGATGTCCTTATCGATTTTCAACCTTGGAACTTGGTCATAAAGTTAAAATTTATTAAATAAAACAATTTTGTCCGTTTTAAGTACTTTTTATCTGTAGTAGGTACTATACACACCCATTTTTCAGTAAATTAGACTTGGATGATGTCTGACTGCCGGGCAAAGGGTCTCAGGTTCGATTCCCGGGTCGGGCAATATAAGTAATAAGAATGTAAAAAAAAATCTCAGTAGTAGCACGGAGTCTGGAAACGTGCCCGGTATATGGCAATAGGCTCACCCCGTATTACATGGGAATCATAACATAAATAGTGATAAGTAGGTGTTACATTGTACAGTGGCATTAACCCATCGTATGTGTATTCGTGGATCCACTCAAGCGGTTAAATACCGACAACGAATAATTAGGTTTCGAGATCGAGTTTGGACCGCGTTTTGTGTCACACCGAAGTTATACGCAATTCCAAACAATGGTAATTACCAAAATGTCAAGGGTCCCTGAATAGTTTTGGAATAGAATCAATAGTCAATTGAATTCCTAAAAACAAAATCGGTTGGTACTTAGGTACTTATTATAAAACATGTCACAGGAGGTACCTGTGACATGCGATCACTTATTTCTGCACTTTTTCTTCTTTTGGTTACTTTATTTCGTTTGGTCCAGAATTTAGATAAAGTAGGTACCCGAGGTCGTCCAACTTTTTTTTACACTTTATAGGTCGACATTTGACCACCATCTCGCCTGATGGTAAGCGATGATGTGGCCGACGATGGAGCACGCCTACCTATGAGCAATTTAATTTTGTTTTTTGTCAATTTATTGTTCTCTAAAGAGAGTTGTGGTTGTGGCTGAACGTTTTAATACACCCGCTTCTCATGCATAAGGGTGCGTGTTCGAAACCTACCAACAGCAAGTACTAATGTGGGTTGTCTAAGATTATTTGGACACCACTGACAAACGGTGAAGGAAAACATCGTGAGGAAACCTAAGCTTATGATCAGTGATCGGAAAAAGGTGAGCTAATTTACCTAAACTTCAAGGAACAAAAACAAAAAGTGGAGACTTCCTTACTACATTTTTTTCGGGAAAGTTCCGGTTCCAGTTTCGGGATATTTATATATTACATTTAATATAATTGTTATTAATACAGAAAACAATTGATTTCGTTTCGTGATTTTATTTCTTAAATTTAACACAAAACCAAACAAAATTAAAACTTTTATTGTTTTCAACAATAAATATTTTAAGATGTAAGAAAGAGCATAAAATAAAATTATTCAACACAAAAATTAACAAAAACCTAAAATCGTGACAAAAGTTGCGGTCTTCTTTCTAGCTTTTGTTACAAGAAACCGCAACTTTTGTCACGATTTTAGGTTTTTGGACTGAAATTGGAACCGGAACTTTCCCGAAAAAAATGTTGTAGTAAGGAAGTCTCCACTTTTTGTTTTTGTTCCTTGAAGTTTAGGTAAATTAGCTCACCTTTTTCCGATCACTGCTTATGATGAATAATTTATAAGTTTAAAATTGCTGTTGGGACAACATAATATGTATGAGCGTAGGAATAATAAATACGCTATGTAGGTATGTGTGCATGCTTAGAGGCAGTTTAAGTGAACACGTTTAAATATTTCATTTTTAAGTATACAGTTAATCGAAATCCTACAAATAGTATTCCCTAAATTGCCAACCCGTATTGAGCAAGTATGGTGATTAATGCTCAAACTTTCTCTGTGAGAAGATGCCTTTGATCAGCAGTGGCCACCTTGCTGTATCATTTATATCATAATACTAAATAATGCATAATTTTCGAGACAATATAGTATATACAGTAGTAAAGTTACTTGTATTCTAAAAATGTACACATATCATTTGTAAGGACACCCCATATAAGCATTGTTTAAAAAAGTAATCACAAAACAATACATGTGCCAGACACAACTTGGTCAGAAACAATCACTTTGAAAAATAATACCTATGAAATTGACATTGGATACTGGTTCTGATTACGCTGACTTTACATCTCATATACAAAATGTAACGTAATTAACGCACACCCTCAAACACCCCAATTAGAATATTATGTTACAATCATAATACATACACTAAATTTTTAATTTAACATGTATATGCATCCTTACTGGTCTTGTCATAAGGTTTATTTTTCTTTATTTTGTATTGAATGACAGAATTTGTATGAATACAAATAAAACTGCGATTTTAAAAGTCTTATTGCTTTGACTTACAGTCCATTTCGATTTGTTTTAACAATACAGGGTTAATATGACAATAATTTCCGTAGTTTTAATTATTTTTGGGATAAAAAATTACCTATACTAAAAATTATATAAATCGATTCAGTTAACGATTCTGAACAAACTATTTTCAGGATGTGCGTTGTTTAAGTTACATGTATAAATCCATGAATGTTATAAATACGAAAGTGTGTGTCTGTTTGTTTGTCAGTCTTTCACGGAAAAACAAAGTAACAAATTGACGTGATTTCTATAAGTGGAGGTAGTTGAAGGTACGGAGAGTGACATTTTTTTTATTCTACATTTAATTAATACGGTTATCCATGAGGATACGCCAACCCCATCGTACCTAATACTACCTACAACCATTATATAAACAAAACCTTAAAATTAACTATGAAAGTTCCTAATTAACTCAGTCTTAATCAACGAAATACATCGTTGACTGACACAATCGTTTTGCTAATTTAGAATTTGGCTGAGCTAAAATAGATTGTATCAACCCCACCTCTTGCATATTTAGCTGGAATTCATTGACCAGATTGTTCCGTTGACTTTGATTCCTGACACAATCCATCAGTAGATGTTGAAGGAGAGTGACATGAGTTATAAAATATCATGCTATGATCAATAGGAGCCAAGCAGCGTGTGAAACCGCGCGAGAGTAATCAATATATATTAGACTCTCCTATAACTGGTTATTAAATGACTGTTAGACAACCATTACTTTGAAATTTACATGCTTAATAATAGTTGCTTGTTCTATGTACGTAAATACATACAGTATTTTATAAGTATTTAAAATCAAATGAAATGAATACTAAATTAACAAAAATCACAGGTTACACGGGTTATTATAAAAACGAAATTAATACTCTGGATAAAATCCCCATTATTCTCATATGTGGGTAGGCAGAGGGGCATATAAAATGTAACATCAACTTTTATGGTAGCAAATTGTAAAGATTAAATTCTGAAGGTCTTGACGGAAAATATGTTCTGATATTAGTCCTAAGGAATAAAAAATATCATAAAAATGTTACAATACCTTTTTTAATGGCTGCCTCGACTGCGCAGAGGCCAGTCATGCCAGTGGATCCAAAAATCACGATTTTCATTTTCTGCAAAGGTAAAATACAAGTTATGTATACAGAACACAGGTTGAAACTAAACCAGTTAGGCTGGTTTTATCAAGTACATGAAGGCAAGATACCGTTTATATATGCAAGTTATATTATCTCTCACAATATTAGTTAACCCACACAATGAAATCTGTGAGGTGTAAGAATTTCAATTAAAACTTATTTTTATATTTTTTTAATTTTCAATTTTTAACCTATGCTTTTTGCCGCTTTTTTTTTGTAATGAGAACTTACCTGAGCGGAAACTAACTAGACAATGCGACAAAAGTATCAAATTAACAATTTTCAAAGTAATTAACAATTTAAATAGCTATACGTCGGTAGATGACAATTAAAACCGAAAATATTTTAGACTTAAAGTAACAGAATTAATTAAGTAAATGTTTCTTACGTATGTACCGGTATATGATGCAACTACAAAATTAAATAGGTACTAGGTAGTTACTTTCAATAGCGGACAAGTTGTGAAATATGAGTTACGGTTACCCGGTAAGGAAGATAAAGATTTACCGAGTTTCTTATCAGAATCACACTGTGCCGGTAACTACCTATGACATAATTAGTTAAAAACATCGTGTTTGTGTATTTTACTTACCGAAAATATTGCTGCTAACGTAGGACAAGAAATTGTATGAAGTGAGTTGGCTTGAGACTAATTAAATACTGCGCTTAGCTATCGGAAAAATAAATAAAAGTGGGTGACGACACGAGTTTCATTAACAACTTACGTTTCGTTTTACTTTCGCTCCTCGCTCAATCGCTCCGTGCTCGTTCGTTTCAAAGTAGACGTCAAATTGATTGTCAAAGTCCTAGTAACTGACTGTCAATGTCACGAATTTATTAGCTGTAGCAAGCCTCGAATATTTTTATCGATTTTAATTAATTTATCATGTCCTATGCACTTTAACTATATAATCTAATGAACATTTTAAAAAGCAGTACAGAAATATTCCTTGAAAATATTTTCATTTCACTCACCTTTGAGTACCGTCATTATAGACACAAACACAATATGTTGCGGTCACCGGTAGGGTTGCCACCTTTTTCTTTGACGTTTTAGGTAAGAAAAAAAAGTACACAGTACAAAAATAAAGTACAATTTATTTTTACTTAGTATTATATTTAAGAATGTATTTTTATTGCTTTATGCAGTTTAAGTATTAAATTAGTATCTTTACTGAACAATTGCATTGAAATACTAAACAATTGCATCTTTACTATATAGAAATTGTCTAAGTGGCGCTGGCGAGTTATCGATTCAACATAAATCGATAAATATCGATATTGAATCGATGAGTTTACCGAAAAATACTTACGACTTTAATAGAAATGAAGTTTGCAAAAATAAAATATTTTCAAATACAAAATACAAATACAAATATTGTTTATTTCGTGTACTTTATTATTCTTATAAAGTATAGAGTACAATTACCTTAAATAACGTACAATACTTTATTATAAAGTACGGGTGGCAACCCTAGTCACCGGTGTCCTCGCGTTTTTTGACGGTTTAACAATGGCAACGTTTAGTTTCTATAACGACCAGATTTTCAAAATCTGCGTAATTTATATTTAATCATTTATAATTAATTTTTTCTATGCTAGAAAAGACGTTCAATACAATCATTTCATAATTTTTCATTATACACGAAACACATTCAAATATTTTTTTCTCTTCTTTGGCAAACGAGTCCATTCAATTTATTTTCGACTAGAAAACGAAAAGCAGAGAAATTGACATGACAGATGATTATGTCAAAACAATAATAATAGTATAGCGCAAGAACTAAACGTACATAACCTATACATGTCATGCGTAAACTGTTTAGTGAATGTGGTGTGTGATATAAATTTTGATTTTAAGTGTTGAACATTTAAAATAATTATGACTGAGACAGAAGAATACTTTCCGCGTGGAGGAAAGAAACCTACAACCACATATTTCAAACAAAGCGCCAACGTAAGTACCAATAAACACAAGTTAACTTAAGTCAGTTTGTTATTTGACTAAAAATACCACGTTAAACAGTTTTTAGGAGCACCTGAGAAGGGAGAAAAGAAGAAAAAGAAGCCTAAAAAGAAGGCTGAAGGAGACGATGGATATCTATCGGACGAGGTCACGAAAGAGATCGATCAATCGTATAAACATTGTGCTAATGGTTTAAGTTATAAGGTACGTTATTTTCAAGTTAAAACCACAATTTTATAACTCCCTAGTCACTGAACAGACCTTTATAAGACGTAAATACACCCAAATCACAAATACTATCTATACCATTACAAATAAATGCATAATTAAATTGGCAATATGCTAGATAATAGTTTATAAATGCATGCATGATGCATGGTGTTTTATGGTCTTTTTATTCAACATATCAGTAGTCCCTTTTTCTTATTCTGCCAATATCTGTGCAATACAGTAAATAATAATTATACAGACTATGATACTAAGTACTCAAGGTTGTGCAATAATTAATTTATTTCATTAAAAGCTGAATAATGTTGAACTGATAGCATATTGCTGCCTAGTCTATATTCTATTTGTTGCTTAAATAACACTTGAATGGAAAAAGGTCAAAATGTCTTTGGTTTGTGCTTTGGTTTGTGATTCTTTCCATAGATTTCACAATAATCACAAATATTCTGTGGCTAACATTATTTTAATACTGTTTTATTTTAATTAAATTATAATACACCTTGCTGGACTTTAAAACTAAATGTTTAGCTTTGAGTATTATTGTCTAAGAAAATGCAAAAACATTATTATACCAAATTATGATTTTATATTACCATCATGGTGGTTTCCAACAATACTTAGTTCAACTCGAGGGCTGAAATAAAAACCAGACACATTGTAGGTATGATTTAACTTATAACTGGTCTAATTTTTAACCCTAGAGTGGACAGGGCTGATGCCGATTCAGAGTCACGGAAAACCTAACGGGTTACCGGGGCTCCGACTCGACGTGCAGGAGAAGGGGGGTGGGGGGGTGGGGTGGTTTTTAGTCAGTAAGAGTCTGACACTAAAGGCGGGAGCAGTCATTCGATGATTTTCCCCCCTTAAAAAAAAAGAGTGGACATGTCTTTTTGCCATATGTTAGAGGGGGTGTGGTGTGGTCTATAATTTATACTATCTATACTAATATTATAAAGCTGAAGAGTTTGTTTGTTTGAACGTGCTAATCTCCGAAACTACTGATTCGTATTGAATATTTCTTTTTGTGTTGGATAGTCCATTTATCGAGGAATGCTATAGGGGCTATATAACATCACATTGCGACCAATAGGAGCCGAGCGGGTGAAACCGCGCGCAAGTAGCTAGTTATAAATGAAGTTAATCTATTTTTTATATCCTTACAGACAGTAAAAGAAGGTTTATTGGTGCTTGGCAGAGTGAAAACTATTCTAGAAACTAAAGTAGTAGTCAGTCTACCATGCAGACTGATTGGGTCCATTATGGCATGCCATATAAGTGAACCATACAACAAATTGCTTGAAGCATATGTTAATGATAAGGTGAGTACAATATTAAGTCTATTTAATCAAACATAACGTCACACCTTTTATCCCTGAAAGGGTAGGCAGAGGTACACAATATGGCATTTAATGCCACTGTACAATGTAACACACTCTTTTCCCTATTTATGTTATGAGTCCCATGTAATAGGGGGTGAGCCTATTGCCATATACCGAGCACATTTCCAGACTCCGTGCAATGAGGCAGTCATTTAATCTAATTATACTTTATAAATGACACTATGAATCGAACCCGAGACCCCCGAGAAACGAGGCAGCCTTCTTCGTCATGCTTGAAATATTCCGAAAGCAATGAATGAATCTATCTGATAAGTATCTAATAATGATTCAAGTTTTTAAGTGTGTTCATTCTTTGTATTGCATATTTATTGAGTAGTGTAATTGGTTTTTTGTGCCGTTCTATTCATATAAATAAATAAATTATACTGGGATCGCTTCAAATTCTACTTAGGTATAATATTCCATAAGAGGCAATTCTGGTAACTGTGGACATACAATTTATCGCTCCATTCACCGAGTCTCTTTAATGTGGGCTGAACCTGATACATATCATTACCACATTGACTCTTCATCGGAGATGTCCAGTTTCCTTTTAACCGACAAATACTTTCTGAGATGATCTATTCTGTTGCCTGGTTAGTAAATAAAATTTATTATAACTAATATTTACATTAATATTACAGACGGACAAAGTCCTAGAGCTGGGACAGTTGTTCCGACCTGGCCAGTACATTGCTGTGAAGGTGCTGGAAGTAAAGGATGTCAGCCTCATGCTATCCACGATGCCGCAGCATGTCAACGGGCAGACCACGCTTAAAGATCTGCAGAAAGGTTCGTTGAATACACTTTTATTTATTTATTTTCGTCATTGTAACAGCCTATATCATACGCAAGCGTTTTCAAGGCAGAGCAAGTACGTTTCGGTTGTACGGTCAAAGGTCAAAAGTCCACTGCCACAGTAAGACTACTATCGGTTGCGCTGCAGCGCTTATACCCACATGCGCACGCATATTTGTATCCGTGTGCGTACGCGTGCGTGTGTTTATGCGTACGCACGCGTTTTATGCACATTAATATGAAATTACTTACGCATTGCCGTGTGAACATCACTCACGGTGGACTTTTGACCTTTGGCTGTACAACGATGCCGCGACTGCCCAGCAAATGTGTGGCGAACATGCCCCAGCTGTGCAGCATGTGATCATACCCCACCATTATAGCTTTTGATAATTTTTGAGCTTTTACTATGTGGGATTCAATGAGAAAGGAGTGACTATTCCCTCACTTTAAGTACCCCTAGAAGTTTTTAAATGAGTGACCTAAAACAGCTTTACACAAGAATATAACTATAGAGATTAGTTGTTCGGCAGTAGTGATGTCCGCTATGACAAGTGCTACCTACTTCTTGCACTTTTTCTACTTGAACAATGAGGAGGATGTGAACAAGACTGATTGTATTAGTTTTGTAACAAGTATTCGCTGAATTAAATAAAAATAACATTTTAATCACGTTAATATATACTGAGCGGCGAGGGCGACTATACCGGCGACGTCGCCGCAACCGCGAACACTCCCTGAGGACACGGTGGAACACACATTAGGGAAATACCCTAAAATATTGAAATAATCATCATTTTACTTTACAGGGAACCTAATACAGGCGGCTGTGTCGTCAGTGGAAGACCACGGCTATGTGATGGACATTGGAGTACCCAACACTACCGCTTTCCTACCTAAAGCAAATACCAACCCAGAGATAGAGCTAGGTAAGTCTTTCATTGATGGTAGTTGAACAATTTAACATTCTTCACGTAACACATAAACAACATAGGTCTTATTCTCCAAATGGGGGTAAGCAAAAAGTGCAGCTTTCGTCAAAATACGTATTTATTTCTTAGTATATAGTACATTGAGATCTTACATGAAAACATTGATTCACACATACTACCATTGCTGGTGTAGCAATATTACGAAAAAGATAGGTAGGTACAAATATTCAAGTGAAGCCATGCTTCGGCACGAATGGGCTGGCTCGACCGGTGTGATTACGGTCTCATAGAAGACCGACGTGAAACAACACTTGCGTTGTGTTTCGTCGTGTGAGTGAGGTTACTGGAGGCCCAAATACCCGCCCCCTCCCCTTCCCCAATCTCCCCAATCCTTGAATTTCCAACGATCCTCAAATTACTAATCCCCAAAAGGCAGGTAATGCACAGAGCCGCGGAAG